AATGTCATGTTCTCATCCTTTCTTACAAGAATGCATTTTTGTGTTTACTTGTCTAATTCTAATTTATTTCTTAATGCGGTGTCTAACCAAATTCATAGAAAGGAGAAAAGTGGTTGTCAGAGGCTGGGGGAGGGGGCAGTGGGGAGTTAGTATTTAATGGGGACAGTTTCAATTCGAGAGGATGAAAAGGTTATGGAGATGGTGGTGGTGGTGGCACAACAATGTAAATACACTTAATGCCACTGAACCGAAAACTTAAAAAATGGTTAAAATGGTAAATTTGTATTATGCATATTTTACTACACTTAAAAAAATAGAGGTATTTTTCAAATGCTTAAGCTGTGAGGTTGACACCCGCTCAGCTCACCATGAACCTGGGCGCCGCCCCAAGCATGGGTGGTGGGACGTGGTGGGCACCTGGACCAAGATGCAGCCGCCGTCTCCCAGGATGGGCAGCGGGAACAGCTCCGGCTCCTGCAGGTAGCAGCACACAGACAAGGCAGCTGTGGGGTCCATAGCCTTCTTAAGGCGTGGGGAGGGCGAGGCCTTCTGGGGCAGACGAGAATGGACAGCGACCTTTAAACTACAGCCACAAAAGAGCAAAGGGGATTGTTACTGGGCTCCCGCTGGGGTCAAGGCACAAGTGGGGACAGCGGAGCTCACCAGGGCAGTAAATACCCTGACCTCCTCCCCTCCCACCCGTCAAGTCCTTGCCAGGACCTCTCATGGGCTGATCCCACCAGAAGCCGGGCAAAGGAGCTGGGCTGGCTCAGTGTGTGAAACTCAGCCTTCCCGAGCATACAGCAGATGGGGAAGGGAGGAGAGTGGGCCAGAGAGGCAGAGAATACCCACCTTCCCCGAAAATCAGCAGGTGGCTGGACTGTAGGTCTGGGAGGCAGCAAAAGACAGGGAGGACTACGGGCAGCAGAGGACAACAGCTAAGGGACCAAAGATCCTATGGTTTTCCCCCACCTACTCGCAATCCTTCCTGAGACCCAGCTGTTCCCTTCTGTACTGAGGTTCTTTGAAATTACCATACATTTACTTTTGCTTATGCTGCCTCTAGTTAAGTTTTTGTTTCTTACAACCAAAGAACCTTTACTTAATAATATGGACAATTAAAAAGGCAAAGATATGTTTAGGGAAATATGTCAAAGAGATATAAAGTTACCAACAATAAAAATGAATTATAGAGCTACAATAGCTCAAACTAATGTACGGCCACAAGAAGAGATCAGTGGACTGGGATGAAAAGCTGAACCACACCTGCCGTATGACAAAGCAAGCCCCCAGGGGCAGTAAATCCGTTATACCCGCTTGCTGTAACAAAATTCCCACACTGGTGACTCAGACAACAGGCACTTCTTCCTCAGTTCTCAAAGCTGAGAGTCCAGATCAAGGTGCCCACAGAGCTGGTCCCCGGGAGGACCTGCTGAGTTTGCAGATGGCCATCTTCTCGATGCCCCTCCCTCTGAAGAGAGTAGAGGAAGCAAGCCCTCTCACCTCTTCTTATAATGACCATAATCCTACCAGGAGGGCTCCCGAAGGCCCCCACTTCAAACACCATCATGTTGGGGATGAGGGCTTTGACAAATGAATTTGGGGAGAACACAAATTCAGTCCACAGCAAGCAGTATTCCACCGCGTGCAGAACACTGGTACGGGGGTGGGGGGAGAGAAAGCACCCCAAGGGCCTCGCCTCACTGACACACTGACACACAGAATCCCACATGCATTAGAGGAGGAGCTTTCAAATATCTTACCCACAGAACACCTTTTACATTGCACCCTCGCGTATATAACCCCCCTCTAAAGCAATTACCCTTAACTACAAGCAATGCACTGGTATTTTCCATATTAATTACCACTCTACTTGGAAAAATGGTGGTTGCAACCCACTTAATTTCACAACCAGTGCATTGACAAATAACAACCAGTTACTAGAGAGGAAAATTTTTTTAAAAAAATTAAAGATATAACATGACTAGAACAAACTACAAGGAGAAAGTTTTTAAGCTTAAAAACAAGAAAACTATTTTAAAAAATAGCATCAAGAAAAAAAATTAAAGGACAAGTTGGAGAAAATGTTTGTATCATGTTTGGCAAGGAATATCTTTAATATATGAAAAGCTTTTACAGGTAAATAAGACAATCCCTTTAAGCACAGACAAGAACTTGAACCCGCAACACTTTAAAGCAGCGGTTCTCAACCTGTGGGTCGCAACCCCTTTGGGGGTCGAACAACCCTTTCACAGGGGTTGCCTAAGATCATCGGAAAACACATATATAATTACATATTGTTTTTGTGATCCGTCACTATGCTTTATGTTCAATTTGTAACAATGAAATTGGGGTCACCACAACATGAGGAACTGTATTAAAGGGTCGCGGCATTAGAAGGTTGAGAACCACTGCTTTAAAGAAACACAAGTGGCAATGAAAACAGGAGGCGAACTGAGTCTCATGATGAGATGGAAACACAAGCACGGCTTGTGGGCTTAACATCTATGCAACCTTTCTGGGAAAGAATTTGGGCAAATTTTTTAAGTCTAAGAGAATATTCTTGCATTTTAGTAACATCCCTCCTAGTAATATCTCACAAGAGTACCTTTAAAGAAACATAAAATGCAAGAACGTTCATTGTAGCATTACTTCTAACAAATTATTACAGAACATTTAAAGTGTAACACAAGTGGGATACTAATAGCCACAAGCAACATTATTTCAAAAGATAATTAACTATATATGATGTGACGTTTAAAACATATGATCCAAATTTCGTAAGAAGAATTTGTGTGCACACATGCAAAAAGATGAAAAGGAGACACAAGAAAACATTACAAATGGTTGACTTTATGTTCCTTCTTTATGCTCGTTGGTTGTTGATAGTATTGCAGATAGCTCCCATCCCTCCCCCCATTCTCCTCCCAGCACAGACCCACCCCACAGGTCTTCACTACCCTACTGCCCATGTCCATGGGCTATGCAGGTAAGTTCTTGGGTTTCTCTCTTCTTGTCCCCGCAACCCCACATCGAGGTATGTCAGTTTGTTCCCTGCCTCCATGCTTTGGATCTTATTTTGTTGTCAATTCATTTTGCTCATTAGATTCCACAAGTAAGGGAGATCATGTGATATTTGTCTTTCTCACTTTGGCTTATTTCACTTAGCATATTTTCCAGGTCCATCCATGCTGTCCCAAAGGGTAAAAGATCCCTCTTTTTCACAGCTGCATAGTATTCCAGTGTAGATTTCCCACCGCTTTGTTATCCATTCATCTACAGGTGGGTAACTTGGGCTGTTTCCAAATCTTAGCTATTGTAAATAACTCTGCTATGAACATAGAGGTGCAGATATTCTTTCTGGTTGGTGTTTTTAGGATATATTTCCAGAAGTGGGATTACTGGGTCAAACGCAAGTTCCATTTTTAATTTTGGGACTTAATGCTGCACCAATCTGCATTCCCACCAGCAACATCTTTACTTTTAAAACAATAGATTAAAAAATACATTAAAGAAAAGAGGGAAAATATTTAATTCATTTTTCACTTGTGGAAAAGGACTGTTTACCCATAGGCTCTGTTTCAATTTCTTAAAAGTGCCAGAGACCATAGGGAGTTTCCCTAAGAAACTTGGGCCCCATCCTCCCCTCCCATTTTGGAAAAATGTCTAACAATTCATGGTTCTATGAAGAACCCCTTTTGCCCTGTGCTGCACTTTGGGGTTCAGTGTCCCAGACATTGTCCCATTTGATTCTCCCAGCATCCTTGTGTCAGACAGGACTGCCGTTATTCTCCTGTTGTGGACCAAAGGAAAAAATAAATCAAGTAGGTGTTTCATTGCCATGCTGCAGTATAGGCCCAGAATTGGCGCTTCTGGCCTCAAATTTGGTCTCTTTGCAACAGACTGACTATTCATGTTCACCCTTTCACCTCCTGGACCTGATCCTATCACAAAAATCACCACTTAAGAGACTTTGCCAGTTGCACAGCCACGTAAATGTACTTAATGCCACAGAAATGTACACTCAAAAGTGGCTAAAAGGGTACAGTTCATATATAGTTTACCACAATAAAAAAAAAAAAAAGGAGGGGCAGGCGTGGCTAGGTTGAGATTAACAAGATTGGCTGCAAACAGCCAGTTTGTTTCCCAGATGTAACCATATTGTGGTGCTACCCATGGTCAGGAGCAAGCTGCCCCCTGAATTATTAGAATGGACCCTAACCAGCCGTCCTACGTGCTGCTGAGGAGACCCAACCACAGTAACTGTCCTGGCAGAGCAATGACAACCAAATACAGTGTGTGACCCTTGATTTGATCACGAATGGTTAATTTTTCAAAATCAAAAGTTGGAAAGAAAAATCAAATCACAAAAGACAACACCACACATAAAACTTTTTTGGCTAGATTAGGAGAAAAACACAGTGAAAAATACCCTGTAACAAACATAATTTAACTCTGGATTCATCTAAACCAAAAATAGTTAGTGCCCGGGTGGTGTGGCTCAGTGGTTGAGCATTGACCTATGAATCAGGAGGTTACAGTTCAATTCCCAGTCAGGGCACATGCCCAGGTTGCAGGCTAGATCCCCAGTTGGGGGCATGTTCTCATCATTGATGTTTCTCTCTCTCTCTCTTCCTTTCCCTTCCTCTCTCTGAAATCAATTAAAAAATAATTAGTAAGCAGTTATTAGATGCCTCTTTAGATAGCCAGGTGCAGGGAAATCTGACTCAGAGCACAAAACAGAAACTATAACAGCACAGGATCCTGGAAGGTCAGCCAGCAGCGAGCTGTGCCAGGCGACCCAGCTGCGTGGGGCGGCATCAAGAAGCAATCGCTAGATTACAACAGTTCCTGGTTCTTTCACTTCATTACAAATGTTATCCAACAAGCACTGAAAGCATTTACCTATTAATGCTAGTGGGATAAAATTGCTTTTGAAACTTTTATGCCACAAGGCCAAATGTGTGGCCATTTCTCTGCATATATCACAAGACAAGCAATGGATAAAGATGAATATTTATTCACTTTACAAAGAGAATGGTATTAAATTCCCATAAACGGCTCCATTTATAGACAAATATAACTGTACATTATAACAGTAGCTGGCTCAAACTCACTTTCCCAAGATACTTCTCCCGCTCCAGCGCTATTAGTTGAACATAGATGGTTAAAAAGTCCCTCAAAGATAATGGCTTTGTTTTACTTATTCACAGATGGGAAAATTAAACCCATCTCCCCAGCCCTTCCTTAAGGGGTGAGCTTCCATCTGCATGTTCCCTAGAGAGCACTAAACAAATACTGGCATGTTTTTAAAAAAAATCACTAATTTGAAAAGGCGTTTGTGGCACACCAAAATACGTATTTATACATACATAAAAAATCTTGAGTCAGATTTATTATTTTAAAGGTAAACAGATACCCTAACACTGCCACGAGTGGGTAATGAAAAGAAAGGAAAACATTAAATTACTTAATTATAAAAATATTTTCTTTGGAAAAAAACTCCAACAAGGTTATCATCAATATCTAAAACCAAAGAGAAAAAAATAAACAATTGTTCTTTGATCCATTAGTAATTTAAATAAAAATGAAAACCTCTTCAAAAGCAGCTATCACTGAATTTTTTAAAAGTTGCAGGTAATGAGCACTTCGAAATCTATACACTAATGATTCTTTACAGCCAACTTGCAGTCAAGAAAAATCCTTAATATGGCTAACTCTTGAATTTTTTTAATTATCATAATTTTGTTTTTAAAAAATATTTCACATGACAGCTTAAAAAATAAGTGGTTGTTTTAGAGAAGCCCTCCAAATATCCAATCTGACTCAAATCAGATTACCACAGTTAATAGACAATCTAGGGACACTGGTGATTTCATTTTTTAATCACATTTTTACTCTCTGTTATCCCTTCATATTTTATAATTATCAAATTAAAATTCCTTTCCCTCGTGCTGCTTCATATCTCGATTTGGTGAAAGATACCAACCTGAGATAAGAGCTGACTCCTTCACACAAGTCCAGGTCTTGAACCCTATCTGGGAAATGTCTGTATCTTCACTGAAGCCAATTCTTGGTATAACCAAGTCATACTAGGATATTATATTATAAAAATATACCATATATTCGACACTGATGTCAGTACATTGCAGAAAATGTGTCTATTTACTGTGTAAAGTTTATTAACATTTGAATGAAACACTCATATTTACACAGTTAAGTCTTGTTCAGGACTAGGGGCCTGGGAACCACCATCAGCAACTGGGAAATGTGCAGCGGTCGGTCCTTGGCATCCTGTCAGCCAGCCTCCCCAGGGAACTCTCAGCACTGGGAAGGTGAGCCAGTCTATACAGTTCCACTGGCTTGTTTTCTGCCTTCATTCCTCTTCACTTTCATTGTCAGGATCTAAGTCAGAATCTCCATTTAATTCTTTTTCACTTGTCACATCTCTGTCCTCACCATTTTCTTCATCTTTTTCTTCCGAATCCTCATCTTCCTCCTCCTCATCAACCTCCTCCTCTTTTTCACTTTCTTTCTCTTCCTCATCTTCATCCCAATTATCCTGGCAAAAAATATTAAGCAAGGAAAGCGCTCATGAAGGCCTTGTTCTTACAGGGTACAAGGTTACAAAAGCAGATTTATGCACCAGCAAATAAATTACTCACATCAGAATCTTTATCTATTTCATCATCAGATTCCTCTTCAGAAGATTCTGTAAGAGGGGAAAAAATGCAGCCTTAATTTTGTGATCAAAGCAGAGGGCAGAGCCCTGAAAACTAAACAGAATCAGATACCTGAATTTACTTTCAGAAATATTATACTCAACTATGATCCATCTAAGTAGTAACAATATTCTCATCTGCATAAAAGCACATTGCACATTATATTATTCCATCAAGATTTCACTGAGCAGGAAGAAGTACCAAAATGCTAACAAAATACCATCTTAGAAAAACAAAGCTGAGGGGGGGGGGGGGGGGGACGGAGCCTTGACTTGTATGCATGCATAACCAATGGACAAAGACAGTAGGGGGGGGGGGGGTGAGAGCGGCTGGGGAGAGGTCAAATGGGGGGGGAAGAAAACATAGGTAATACTTTAAACAATAAAGAATTTCAGTTTTTTAAAAAATGGAGCCTTGTATAATACTATGGATGGAAATGTAAAATGGTGCAGCCACTAAGAAAACAGTATGGAGGTTCCTCAAGAAATTAAAACTAGAACTACCATATGATTCACCAATCCCACTTGAGTATATGCTGAAGGGAACAAGAGCCATCTACACCCCATATTCCATACAGCATTATTGACGACAGCTAATAACTCGTGTCCATAATGAGTAAATAAGAAAATACGGCACATATATACAATGGAATACCCATAAAATAAGTTTTTTAAAGAAATCCTGCTATATGTGACAACATGGATGGGCCTTGAGGGCACTAACCTAAGTGAAATAAGTCAGATAGAGCACACTGGTGGTTGCCAGAGGTGAGGGGTGGAGGAAATGGGTGAAGGTCAAAAGGTACAAACTTTGAATTATAAGTAAGTCCTGTGTATGTATAGCATGATATGCTTTTATGTCCTTCAATTATGCTTTATAACTTACAAAGGTTTTGCTTCACTTTTAGATGTACTTTTAGGTACTTCATAGGTTTTTTTATTGCTATGAATGAGATCTTATTTTTCTAATACATTTTCTGACTGGGACATACATTATTGAGACATAATACTACCAGATTTCCTTTTATCTGGCCTTGGTATCCAGTAAACTTGATTATTTACATATCTCATTAGTAACAGTGTTATTACAGATCCTGCTGCATTTTCTATTGGAAAAGGATAAGAATTGCAAAGTTCAACATTCTAGAATTCATTTTTTCAATCCAGTACTAGGCAGGACATGCAGCAGTAAAAGGTACATTAGTATCTTGTTCCTGTCTTTCTGAAAATGCTCCTGAACTTTAATGTAAATTAAGGACATTCCCTTAAATTCCTAGGTTGTTCACTTTAGCAAGTAATGAGACACATTCAATTTAACTGAATTCCTTCTATTAAAATATATAGTGTTCCCTGTTAACCTATTAATATGTTGACTACATTAATAGATTTCTTTTTAAAAATATATATATTTTATTGATTTTTTTACAGAAAGGAAGGGAGAGGGACAGAGTTAGAAACATCGATGAGAGAGAAACATCGATCAGCTGCCTCCTGCACACCCCCTAACTGGGGATGTGCCCACAACCAAGGTACATGCCCTTGTCCAGAATCGAACCTGGGACCCTTCAGTCCACAGGCCGACGCTCTATCCACTGAGCCAAACCGGTTAGGGCCATTAATAGATTTCTTGATGCTAAATCACCTTATATTTAAATAAATCTCACTAAGTAATGACTAAATTATTATTTAAGCACTTCCACAGTCAATTTGCTACCTAGGATATTTGAGGATGGTCTAAAATGTTATTTTCTTCACTATCCTTGTCTGATCTTGACTCATAAAGATGCCTAAATTTTATTGGGCAAAAACTTATTCATGTACCTGGTAGCTTATGAGGGGACATAGTATTCTTCTATTTAAATTTAAATATCTTACCTAAGGTCTTTTTTTGTTATTATATTTGTGCTTTTCTTACCTAATCATATTTTTGCCACAGGCATGCCCATTTTCTTAGAGAGCGTGTGTCAAGCATGACCTCATTCACATTAATATTTTTACAAAATAAGATAACAGAACTGAGCCCTGACCGGTTTGGCTCAGTGGATAGAGCGTCGGCCTGCGGACTGAAGGGTCCCAGGTTTGATTCCGGTCAAGGGCATGTACCTGGGTTGCGGGCATATCCCCAGTGGGGGATGTGCGGGAGGCAGCTGATCGATGTTTCTCTCTCATCGATGTTTCTTTCTCATCGATGTTTCTAACTCTCTATCCCTCTCCCTTCCTCTCTGTAAAAAATCAATAAAATACATACATACATACATACATACATATATATATATATATATAAAAAGATAACGGAACTGAGTCAATAACTAAATATTCCAATTGTAGACTCTACCCCATACCCCCAAGCTTTACCTTCTTCATACACCAATTTTGCCTTCTGTTCAGGAGAAGTCATTCCCTTTGTTTTTTCTGAAGCTGTAACCTGAAAGATAATAAAATGCTATTATTAATAAAAGTAGAGTATTTAAGTTTATCTCAAGTAGCACAACAGAACCTTCTCCAACAGTAAACTCACCCTCAATGACCATAATGGATTACCTCAATATGTTGCAGATCAAATACAGGGCAAAAAAACAAATTCATCAAATGCAATAAGGAAAGAATTACTCTGTAAAAGTTGAAATATCTTTTAAAAAGATGATCAGAATTTATTCCTGTGCCAAAATCTTTTAACTATTTAAATACCCTGTAATTTTTTAAAAATATTTTTTTATTGATTTGAGAGAGGAAGGGAGGGGAGAGATGGAAACATCAATGATGAGAATCACTGATCGGATGCCTCCTGCAATCCCACTAATGAGGACTGGGCCCAAAACCCAAGCATGTGCCCCTGACCGGAAGTGAACCTGGGACCCTTCAGTCCGTAGGCCAATGCTCTATCCACTGAGCCAAACTGCCTGGAGCTAAATACCCTGTAGTTTTGGTTCAAAGTGCCACAAGCATCCTAACTGTTTTAACAACTGAAATGAGAACCTTTCAGTGAAAGTTAAAATAGGCACAACTGAGTTTACTCACTGTAAAATGCATAACATTTCCAAGTTCAAGACTGGATCCTGATTTGCCATTTCTGACTGAAATAGGGAGTTTTCAATGTTCCAGTAAATGATCCTTATTCCTCCCTCCATTCCCATCACATCCAAAGTTTTAGCACAAAACACTTGAATCTACTCACTTGTGTGATAAGAAGGATAAGCTTTCCATGAAGGTGGGAAAGTTTCTGAAAAGTTTTTACTCTGCTTTCCATTAACTGGTATAGTGTCCCCAGCTGGGGTACCAGGTCAGGCAACTAAAGAAAAACAAAACAAAACAAAATGGATATTATTATGACATAATATAGATAACCAACATACAAGTCATGCTTAGATGTGCCTGAGTATTTGGCCAACGCACCATGACCATCTGTTTACATGTCCAGCGGTGTGGCTGCTTACGACCTAGCCTAGCAACATCATCTCACACTGTGACCTGTAACATTTTTTCTGGTGCTGCTGTAAGACATGATGCTCCCTCCCTTCCATGTGCACAGGCAACCAAGAGCTGAAAACAGCCCCAGCAAAATGCCACATGTTGAATGCTTAATTTATGTCATTTTAATCACAAGCTACCTTTTATACTCCTGAGACAAGGTAGGGCAAACATGTTAGTACATATACAAAACTTTTGAAATCTGCTAAGTTTTTAAGAGGGAAGGGGGGAAGACACATACGATGTAAAGATAACTTTGCTGAACAGGTTATGGATATAGAAAAACACCTGAAGGCTAACATGTCAATATATAACTTCCTCCAAGTTCTCTTTAAACGTGTCATTTTTAAATCCAGGGGGAAAAGACCAATTTATAAAAGGCAACAACAGTGCTATTATGGCACTGCACCTGGGGGAAAACAAAAATCTCTTAAAAGCAGCAGCTTAGGGCTAAAGATGGAGAGAGAGTGGTTTTGTTAAGCCATCAGTTTATAATCCTTATCAAAGTCAAACTATTCAGCAACTGTAGCTGAAAAGACTTACTGTGGATAGGTAGGATGCATGGACTGTTAACACACATTTTAGCCACTGAACCATTAAAACAGCACTGAAAAAAAGGGGAAGAATCCAAGTAAATTAATTTGAAATTAAATACAAATGAGTAATAAAATTAGAAAAACTCAGGCAAAGTGAAGATCTACAAACTATGCTCTGAGAAAATAACTATATGAATAAAACAGTGAAAAAATAACTATATGAATAAACCTCTGAGAATTTAACAGTCCTTACAATCTTTCACTGAGTATTTCAGATCTGTGTAATATATTAATCTCTTGGGAGTGAGGACGAAGTAAGATGGACTGAAACACAGGACAAAATTCCCTTCCTCTAAAATATTTTAAGAATAAAACTCAAGCATTTATTTCATAATTAACTGCTATCAGGGCACGTAACCTGAGCTGAACTGACTTTGTATTTTATGTTCATAATATTTGAGCCCATCATCTACTCATCATCAGGTACAATTAGCAAAAGATTCCCACACCAACATTAAAAACAAAATACAGACCAAAAATGTGTAAGTCGGGCCTAATTAATAAATTCTTTAGCAATAACTTAGATAAGAAAAAATGCATATTGTACACAGTGATAATACTATGGTAAAGCTTAGGATCTCTGAAATATCAACTTCCTGTTTAAATATTTAACGATCAAATTAATACAAAAAGACCCAGAAATTTAGTCTGTTATAACGTACTAGAGGCCCAGTGCATGAATTCACGCACAGGTGGGGTCTGGCTGGCCCTGTCCCTATCAGGGCGGATCGGGGCCAGGCCTGTCGGGGAGGAGGAGACGGCGGGATTGGGGCTCAATCATGGCCGGGCCAGCCGGGGTAAGGGCCACGAGTGATTGGCCAGCGGGCCTCATCCCCAATTGGTGTGTGTGTGTGTGGGGGGGGGGGTGTCAATCAGGGGCAGGGCCAGCCAGGGGGAGGAGCCGCAGTGGTTGGCTAGGCGGTCCTGCCCCTGATCTGGGGTAAGGGGGAGATCAGGGGCAGGGCCGGTCGGGGGGAGGGCTGTGGGCTGATCAGGGTGGTGGGGGCCCATTGGGGGTGGGGAGGAGAGGGGCTGCAAGAGGTTGGCCTGCCAGCCCCGTCCCCTATTGGGGTAACAGGAGCAATTGGGGGCAGGGCTGGTGGGGGGAGGGGGTTTGGGCCAATCAGGGTCGGGGCCAGCCAGGGTTAGGCTTAGGGCGGGGCCAGCCGGGGGGAGGGGCCTCGGGAGGTTTGCTGGACAGCCCCACCCCCAATCAGCCCCACCCCAGATCGGCAGGTTCACTGGCCGCAGTGAGCTTCATAGCGACCAGTCATTCCACTCCACTCGCTGGCTTTTTATATATATAGATTGCCTTATCTTAGCAGCTACCAAAGGTTAAGTTTTACAAATGGCAATTTTACACCAAATCATTAAATAAGATTAATTCATTAAATGACCTAATAATAAAATTTAAAAACCTACACAGGCGTTTTCTAAAAGAAATAAAAACGCTATAAAATATTTATAAAAACAAAGCAATTTAAGTCACTTAAACATCTTACCTATTAGGATGTCCTTGCAATCTCTTTGTAAGCTGAGGGGGAGAAAAACAGTATAAGCAACAGCACTACAGAGACAACCAATCTCCATCAATTCCCATAATACACACATCCACAAAAACACAAATGAACATAATGATCATGTTAGGAAAACATTATTGCTAAGAATCCTAATTCCTAAATGTTCAACCAATGTAACAGAATCTGAATATATGCTCCCACAATAAGAATAATGACAAAAATCTAAGCTAACATTTATATGTATGAATGTCCAGAACAGGCAAATCTGCAGAGATAGAAAATAGGTTGGAGGCTGCCAGAAATGGGATGAGGATGGGAGTGAGCAATGGGTACAGGATTTCTTTTTGGTGTGGTAACTGTACAACCTGTGAAGACAATAAAAACACTGAACTATATATTTTTAAAGGGTGAAGTTTATGCGACATGAATTATATCTCAATAAAAAATACAGGCAAAATCATTAGGCAAATATTGTTTGAATAGATCTATTGTTTCATCCACTGTGAATGCTCTGCTTGCTTACATACTGCAAATCCATTTCTGTAAATACTGGATTTAGTCTTAAACTCCTAGCATTAGAACCTTAAAATGAACAGAGTACTCAACGTTACCTCTTGCAACAATGGAATAACAGCATGCAGGGGCATCCTTAACACAGTCCTCTTTATTAGGTTTAAATTCCTAGTTTGAAGTACTTTCTGTGACAAAAGAAAAGATATATAAGCATACTCAGAAGCTGAGAACACTACAGAAAAAAAAACTGTCAGTAAAATAATTTTTTAAATCAAGCAATAAACTACTAACTGAATTTTAGCAAATAAAGGTTGGAAGTACTGAATGAAGAATATTATATCTTATGGCTATCAGAAAAGGTGTCTTCAGTTATGGGACATTTACTTCAATAAACAGATTTCTTCTTGTTCTGTCAGTGTGGCTCAGTGGTTGGTCCTTAAATTATGACCAGGAGGTCAAGGTTTGATTCCCAGTTGGAGTACAGGCCCAGGTTGTAGGCTCAATTCCCAGGCATGCAGAAGGCAGCCAATCAAAGATTCCCTGTCATCACTGATGTTTCTTTCATTCATTCTCATTCTCTCTCTCTCATTCTCTCTCTCTCTCTCTCTCTCTCTCTCTCTCTCTCTCTCTCTCCCCCCCCCACCCCTTCCCTTTCTTTCTGAAATCAATAAAAATATATATTTTTAAAAAACCTTCAAAAATAAGCTATCCCAAATAAAGCAAAATTATTAAATGGATACAGAAGTTAGCATTCATTTCTGCAGATACTAATATATATATATATATATATATATATATATATATATATATATATATATATATATAAAGGACAACCCTAAAAACCATAGCCACAAATGGTAAGATAATTTTGATAATTTGTTTCTCCTTTTACAGTCTTACTACAATATACCTGATGCACAATAAACAGTGTGCACTTAAAGTGTACTATTTGATCAATTTGATATAAATGTGTACATATGAAACAAACTTTAAGGTAAACATTCTTTTACCCTCAAGTCTCCTTGGGCCCCTTTATATTCTATCCCTCCTTGCACCTGCACTCTATATATTGGTAGGTACTTCCTAGAATTATTATATAAATGAAATCATACTATAATATGTACCTTTACTTCTTGGACTGGGTTCTTTTTTTTTATCAGTGTAAATTTGAGATTCACCCATGTTGATGTATCAATAACATTTTTCTTGTATTGCTAAATAAGCAATTTGTTTATCCATTCATATGTTGAGGGACATTGGGGTTCTTTCCATTTTTTTACTATTACAAATAAAGTTGCTATGACCGTTCACATACAAGTCTTTGTATGAAGATAGTTTTTTTATTCTCTTGATAAATACCTAGAACGGCTGGGTCGTATGACAGATGTATCCTTAACTTTTAAGAAACTGCCAAACTGTTTTCCAAATTATTTGTATCATATTACATTTCCACCAGCAAGATGCAAGTTCCAGTTGCTCCACATCCACACAGGATGGCATAGTCTGTCTTTTAAATTTTAATCAATCTACTGGTTAGATAGTGTTATCTCACTGTGATTTTAATGTGCACTTGTGATGGTTAATGATGCCTAAGAGCTTTACATGCACTAATTAGCCTTATGAATTCTTTTGTGAAGTATCACACCGTTACCAATTTTTTTTTTTTTATTTCACAGAGGAAGGGAGAGATAGAAACATCAATGATGAGAGAGAATCACTGATTGGCTGCCTCCTGCACATCCCCTACTGGGGATCAAGCCCACAACCCAGGCATGTGCTCTTGGCCGGAATCGAACCTGGGACCCTTCAGTCCGCAGCCAGCACTCTATCCACTGAGCCAAACCAGCTAGGGCACCAATTATTTTTTATTTAAGTCTCACGAAGTTAAGAGTTCTTTATATATTCTGAATATAAGTTCTCAAATATGAGTTGCATTTTTTTTCCCAGCCTGTGGCTTGCCTTTTCATTCTCTTAACTGTCATATCATGAGCAAGTATTTAATTTTCATGAAGTCCAAATGACCAATTTTTCTTTAGCATTTCATGATTTTTTATAATGCATCTAACTAGCCTTTCTCCACTCAAATTTGCATAGACTTTTTTCTGTTTTCCTCTAGAAGTTTTGTAGGTTTTGGTTTTACATTTATGCCAATGATCTATTTTTTGATGACTTTTGTGTAAGGTGTGAGGTAAAAGCCAAGATGCTTTTTGTTCCATGTGGATATTCAGTTGGTTCAGCACTAGTTTCAAAGACTTACTCTCTCCACTGACTCAACTTAGGTACCTTTGGTGAAAACCAGTTGTGCATGCCATGCTAAACTATAATCTACCTTCCAAAATATATATACACCCAAACTATTTTAAAAGTCATTTTAACTTTTTAGACATGCTGATTTCCCCTCTCATTTTGCAAAATCACCTTAGACATAAACATAAGATATTCCATTCAAATAAAAATATAAATCAAAACCCGGCCGGTGTGGCTCAGTGCTTGAGCATAGACCCATGAGCCAAGAAGTCACAGTTTAATTCCTAGTCAGGGCACATGCCCAGGTTTGTGGGCTCGATCCCCATTAGAGGGTCTGCAGGAGGCAGCCAATTGATGATTCTCTCTCATCATTGATGTTTCTATCTCTCCCTTTCTGTCTCTGAAATTAATAAAAATATATTTTAAAAACATATACAAATACAAACTTCATAAGTTACATATTAAAGTCACATCTATACTAAGTGGCACTGTAATATCACTAAGTCACCAAAAATATATGAATTCAGCCAATATAAATTGCTTTACGCTAATCAAGCAGTGCTTAAATCCAATTTTTTACACTTAAATTTCCTCTACAGACCAGTATCAAATTCTGGAATTTAAAAATACCTAAATAAGTAACTTCATACAAGCAGTCACCAACTTACAAACACAGAAATCATAAATGCCTCCCTTTACACAAAGTTTTTAATACTTTTTACCTCTAAATACTTCATAACATAACCCCCAACCCTCCTGAATTTTTCCCCAAACCTCCTACCCATTGCCAAGGTTCCACCTCACTGCCCCCTCTCACGGCCAGGGGGAAATAAGTTTCTGGAATCCAGAGTAAAAACTCAGGAACGCATTTTCCTACAGAAAAAAATATAAATTGTGATCTAGAATGCTGAGTATTGTAATTCGGGTATACTATGTCTACAAAGGCTTTTGTGAACTAAAGCCTAAGATCCTAATAACAATTCTGAACAATATTTCTATGAGAAAATGCATTCCAGGTTCAAAATAACTTAATACAATCCCTTTGTAGGTTAGTGACTGTCTGTATAATGCCACCAAATTATATATATTTGATTAAACTCACAAAATTTTCAATTTAAAATGGCTATATAACATGACTATTCACTCTGTGAATGTGTATGTCCATCATTTCTAAGAAAAATTAACCATCTTAATTCAATTAAAAACTGCTATAATACTTACATTTAGCATTTCAAAATCATTACTTTCTAAACCCTGTGCCAGAAGAACTGGGAAACTGTTTGTCTGTAGGTCCTCCTTTTCTTTTTTTGATTCTATATTCAGTGCTCCCAGGCGTTCTTCAATGCTAACCTACAGAAGAGAGACGACCCGTTAATGATAAACCAGATAAGGCATAAAGTAGTTCGGTCAAATTACTTTTGCTTATATCCGAGGAGACAAAAGACACTGATTCACACTTCAACCCTGAAAAACACAAGCCTGCTCTTTCTCATTCCAATAGAACCTCACTGCCATAAAGCTAATGTTGGAGACAAGTGCAGTATCTAGAATTCAAGTTTCCAGGGTCCAGTGAAAATACAACTGCCCAAGAAGTCATGATTCAAATATCTTATATAATAAAAGCCTAATATGCAAATTGACTGAATGGCGGAATGACCAGTCGCTATGACACGCACTGTGGGGGGGGGGGGGGGGAGTGTCAGGCGCTCAGCACAGGAGCTGCCCCCTGGTTGTCAGTGCGTTCCCACAGGGGGAGCGCTGCTCAGCCAGAAGCTGGGCTCAGGGCTGGCGAGCACAGCAGCAGTGACGGGAGCCTCTCCCGCCTCCACTGCAGTGCTAAGGAGCAGCAAGCAGATGGGCAGTAAAGAGCGAGGGGTCCTGGACATCCCCCAAGGGCTCCCGGACTGCAAGAGGGACATCCCCCGTGGGGTCCCGGACTGCAAGAGGGCGCAGGCTGGGCTGTGGGACACCCCGACACACCACCACCACCACCAGTGCATGAATTTCCTGCACCAGGCCTCTAGTGTAATTGATAAAAATCCTTCTATATATGAAGACTCAAAAAAGGCAAGGATCTAGCATCTGATTACTAAAACCCAAGAAAAGACATATTTTCATAGAAGTTTCCCCTTCCATAACTGTTCTTTGCCATCAACCTGAGGTCTGCAAAAGGAAAAAAATACTATTAAAAGAGCATTAGAGACTTGTTTCCAAGACAATTTTTAAATTTTTCCAATTTTTCTCTTTATCGGTCAGTTCCAGGTGTTAATTTATCTATATCTGTATATATAAAAGCCTGAGTGATCAAAAGACAGAACAACTGGTCGACCGGTCGCTATGATGCGCACTGACCACCAGAGGACAGACACTCAACGCACAGGACTGGGCTCCCTCCTGTCTGGATTGGGCTCCCTCCTGTCTGGATCAGGCTTGCAGGGATTGGGCCTGTGGGGATTGGGCTTCCCTCCTGTCTGAATCGGGCTATGGGGATCAGGCCAAAACTGACAGTCCAACATCCCCTGAGGGGGTCCCGGATTGCGAGGAAGCGCAGGCCAGGATGAGGGACCCCACCGGTGCACAAATCTAGTTTTCTGTAAGATGCAATACTACAACCAAGTTCCCCTGATAAACATCTAAAATTTAAGTGTAAATAAGCATGATGAAATCTGCTATACAAAAACTTAATTGTATAGAACTGATCCCTTATAAAACCAAGTCTGACTACATAAAAATATAATATTCTGTGACTACCAAATCAAAAAGAGATGCTTTGGTAAAGCCTCCAGTTTGGGATATTTTAACTTATGAAAAAAATTGAAAAGGCAGAAGGAAATGAAAGGGTTAGATCTAAGCCAAGCTCAAGAAAGTTGGCACATTATTTTTAAATATACATTTAATGTTACTGAGAAACAGTTTTTATGAACAGCAATGTTATCCCCAAACCCCCACTCAACAAAGTAAGACATTTAAAATCAGGTAAAGAAACATAAACAATCTTTCTCTAATTAATGGTAATACTTAAAATGCTAGATTACTTAGACAACAGTCACACATGACTGGAAGATGAAAAGAGGATCCTACATATGTAAGTACAGCAACCACAGGAGGGTTTGAAGAGCTGAGAAAAAATAAAATTTACAAGCACTTTAAGAAGCTCTAATAACTATCATTTTTAAAGACCAACTAGCACTAAACCAGCTGTGGGCAAACTACGGCCCGTGGGCCGGATCCGGCCCATTTGAAATGAATAAAACTAAAAAAAAAAGACCGTACCCTTTTATGTAATGATGTTTACTTTGAGTTTATATTAGTTCACACAAACACTCCATCCATGCTTTTGTTCTGGCCCTCCGGTCCAGTTTAAGAACCCATTGTGGCCCTCGAGTCAAAAAGTTTGCCCATCCCTGCACTAAACCAACCAGGCATGCTCAGACAGCCAAGAGAAGAGGCATCACTGGAACTCAGCAACATGCGAAACCCAATGAAAATCATCACAGCAAGTCCTGGCTTAATCTATTTAATTATGTTATCCAGCTAACCTAACAAATGGCCAAAACAGCACTCTCTTTACTTAACAGAAGTGCTGTCTTCCTCATTATTAACAGTGGCTTTGTAAATAAACCACCTGTTAACTCTGTGTAGATCTTACAAAAGTCACCATCTGCAATTTCAGAATCTACACAGCTGGAGATAGGAGAGTGTTAACAGCCGCAATCTAAAAGTAAGTTTCTAAAGTTTCAAACTCAAAAATGGTAAAAGTGATTATATTACCTCCTTTTCCCCTAATTTTCTCTTGTTCTCTACTTCCTCAGTTTGTGGAGGAGCGGGCTTGATGGCTGCATGATGACCAGGTAACCCAGGCACTAGCACTTTTGCTTCAGAATTCATCACTGGTGTTCTCACCTGTTAACCAGAAATAGCAGGGGTATGGATTATGCCTTGGTCCTTGCTGTAGTTACCCCAATGAGAAAACAAACAGCTTTTAAAGGTTTTTCTACTGGAAAACTTACTGACTAACTTAACATAAGCTATTAAAGATAAAGTTTGAATGAATGTTGGCAAATAAGTATTTAAATTATAATTTGAAGCCATAGTTTTAAAACATTCAAAACTACATAAGATTAAAAGACAGGAAAAACAAAATCTACAGATTACACAAGGACACACTGACTTAAGAATGTTAAAGAGTAAATCTGTACATCTTACGACCACCGCCAGTAATTGATCTTTGCCAGAAATGCTCAGACAGCCAAGAGAAAGGTGTCATCTCTGAAATTCAGCCAGAAGCGAAACCATATGGATGTCATCATAGCATGTCTTGGCTTTCTGTTTCTCATTAAACTGGCCAAACAATACCTACATGTAGATGCCACATTATATTCAAAATAAAGCATCATAATGATGCTCTCATTCATGGTCTTAAGTTCCAGCCCCGTCATGGTTTTAGGTCTTATTCCACCCTGAAATATAACATTCTTCTCAACAAAGTTATGCTCCCTTAAGTATTGGGTTTAAAAAAATAACTTATTGGTAATTTGATTTTAATATTTATTCAATGATCATGTATGGGGGCAAAGAGCTAAATGCAAGGTCTTCAACTTCTAGTCATCTATTTACAAGAGCACAGAAATGAAGTTTTTATAATCTTGATATCTAAAACCTAATCCCACAAAATGTATAAAATATTTAAGACCTAACCCCATATAAATTATAAAGAGGATATTAAAGAATCCAAACATAATATTACATAATTCAATTCACCCAAATCTTTTTTTCTCAACTTCTAGTATGTAAAGCGCTTACCTTTGTTATAGCTGTTTCTACTTTTGGAGCCCAGCAGTTTGAAATATCTCTTACTAAACACATATGAGGTTCTTTGGAATTTAAAGCCTGTAAATATAATTTGAAGGGAGGGGAGAATGTGTCAAACTAAGTAATTGGGAATAATAAAAACAAATGTCTACTTGTACATTTTTATGAAAATACAGAAAAGTATGAAAGGCTTCCACACTAAACTGTGAGCAACTCAGACTGATCACCATCTAATTAACAGCACTGAGGAAAATGGGTAACTGAAGACAGGAGGCATTGTGTTTACTTTTTTCAGTTAGGAACTGCTTCAACTTTTCACATATATAATTTTAAAAGATCAACAGAAATTTTACGTGACAGATTTTTAAAAAAAACATAAGTTCATCACCCTTGTAAATAATTAATCTGTGCTAAGAATGATCCTACCCCAGATTTCCTGTTGGCCTTTCCATAAGTGAGGTAAAGACAGCACTGCTGATTAACAAAGTGCTCTGAGGTACGGTATTAAACAGGGGAAGTCAAATGCAGCAAAGTCCATTATGTATCCATAAAGCTTTAAGGTTACATGGAATTCTCTATGCCCATATAATCAATCTATCTGGAAGGATAAAACAGCAAACAATGGCTGCATCTGGAGGGGGCTGGGGGTAACAGGGTCCACATATGGCAATAAGACTTATATTTACAACTTAAAATTTTTCTTTTTTATTATACCAAATCCATGTAAATGTTTTAAAAGTATTTTTGAATAAACTCAACAAGAGCTTGCTCTGACATGTAATATCCTACTTACAGTCTCTCTGAGGGTCTTACAGAATCAATGTTTTATAAATGTAAGCTTAAGAAATCATCTATTGAACATGCTCTTAATAACTCATCAAAAGTATCCAAAGAAACTTTTGTAATAAAAAAGTCAAATGATTGCACTGCCCATTACATTTCCACTTAGAAAATTCAATGGGTGCTATCACTAAAGACCCTTTAACTAAGATTTATCTTTTGGGGCCCTAGCCGGTTTGGCTCAGGGAATAGAGTGTGGGCCCGTGGACTGAAGAGTCCTGGGTTCAATTCCAGGCAAGGGCATGTACCTCAGCTGCAAGCTCTACCCCTGGCCCCACAAGGGCTGAGTGCCACAGGCAACCAATTGATGTGTCTCTCATGTCTCTCACATTGATTTTTTTTCTCTCTCCCCCCCTCCCTTCCACTCTCTCTAAAAATCAATGGAAAAATATCCTTGGGTGAGGATTAGCAAAACAAATCAAAACAAAATTAACTTTTGGGTAGTTGGGCAAAATTCACCCATATCTGTGAACAGCAGCCATGCCCTAGCTGGTTTTGCTCAGTGGATAGAGCATTGGTCTATGGACTGAAGGGTCTTGGGTTTGATTCTAGTCAAGGGCACATGCCTAAGTTGAGGACTCAATCCCCAGCAGGGGGCGTGCAGGAGGCAGCCGCTTGGTGATTCTCATCACTGATGTTTCTATCTCTCCCTCCCTCTCTAAAATCAATAAAAATATATATATTTTTTAAAAAGCCACTACAAATGTGTGGCTACTAAGCACTTTAAACGTGGATAGACCAAACTGATATACTTGTAAGTGTAAAAGAGACACCAGGTTTCAAAGCCATAGCACACCAAACAGAGGAGGAGCGAGCATCAAACATCTCAAATGTTTTATACTGACTAAGCATTAAAATATTTTAGATATGCTCATTAAAGAAAATTACAGAGTTTACACAGTGAAACCACCCAGTGAAAGGTTCTTTTAAAGTATTCTAATAAGCAGACAAATGTATCATTTAAAAATTACTCTTTTCCATAGACATGTTGTTACTGCATTACTCCAGAGTAGCATCTACGTACCACTCGCTCAATGGTGGGCTGAAACCAATTGCCATATACAAGCAACAAGGAATTTTTGTCTGAGCAAAAACCTGCTGCTAGAATAGGGATGGGTTTTGGTGTTGATTTCTTGCCTTTCCCAGGTGTCGCTATCTGAATTGTGCAGTTTGAAGTAAAGGGCTTTTTGCAGTATCTAGAAGTAAAAACAATAAATTAGAATATCTGAAATAACATCTCATATTCTTTGAAGTTGGCATGAAATGTGACCCTCCTCTGGCCTTCACACACCAGGGTCCCCAGAGCACCTGTCAGGACTTCATCTATCCCTCACCCTACCCAACACACAAGACCTCACCACCAAATACTTCCTTCAGCCCCATCTGCCCTTCTATCCCACTTGTCAACCCCCACAAGAGGCCCAAGCTCCCACAGGCTCTATCATCACCCTGAGCTTCAGTCCCAAATGGCTCTGGACAAGCCCTAATCAGCCCCAACTCTAATTACTCCTAACCGTTAAAAGCCTCACCAGGACTTCAGCAACGTAGCTCCAGGAACAAAATTATCAGCAAAACATAATCAACAAAATTATATCCTCAATGTCTTCTCTAAGAGCTCTCTTCACCTTCTTGCTCTATGCTAGCTCACCACAGCCGCCCTTCACAAAGTTGTAGCTGTTTGCTCTCCAACACCCTTTGTGCCAGGGGCCTAGGACATGATTTAACATGCTCCTTGTTCTTTAACACTCCGAGGCAAATAGTCCCTCTCCCTCCTTCACCTCTAAAACCTTTGAAACTGTTGTCACCAGATACCAGGTACCTCCCTGTCCTGCCATCATCCAAAGACCTCTGGGTCACTCTCCCACATTTCTTAAAAGATTTTAGTGGCTGTCATTCTGTCCAACACTACTTCTAAGGAATTCTTAGTGGTTTCTATATTTAGCATGCAGGTCAATACTCCTTCTGACACCGTACTCGCAATTCCGTAATCTTCCTACCTCCAACAACTCTGCCCTTCACTGTATCTCAGCCTCTTATTCTCACATCACAGACATCTTAACACCAATAAACGCCCCCCCACCCCCATAATCTCAATTATAAGCACTCCACTATCCATCTTTCCAATTCACCCTTCATCTCTATTTAGGGTTTTTGGCCTCTGCTTTGCCCTTTACACCTCTATAGTCAATTTTCAACACATCAGACAGAATGACTCAAAACTTACATGTTTTAAAACTGTAAAACCCCATCCATACTGCTTAAAATCCTTCAATGGCTTACTTACTTGCCCAAGGAGAAATGCCCAAGTCCTCACCATGGCCCACTACTGCTGGGCCCTCAATGATAGGTACATTCCATGTACACATGACTATGTAAATTAAGGCATCAAATTATTAACAATTACCTCTAGAGAGTAGAATTCAATAGAGGGAGACTTGGGTTATAATTGTCCCTATATCCTGAATATTTTAAAATAAGTGTATACTGCTTTCACAAGTAGTTTATATTTAAACAAATTACTATACTAGGATTATAAAAGGAAATATTAACTGACAATAAAAAGTTTAAACTATTTTAAAGTTTAACATAATTATGCACATGACTGAGTTCCAACCATGTTTATAGTGTATGGCAAAGGCTGGCAAACATTCGGTAAAAAACCAGGCAGCAAATATTTTAGTTCTGGGAGGCCGCATGTGGGCTCTATTGGGTTTGGCCTCCAGCCCATAATTTACTGACCCTTAATCTGACTACTATACATCCTACCAGCAACAGTCCCCTGTCCACCAAACACTAGCATCGCCATGCTTCACTGATCCACGTGTGTGCTGAGGGGAAGCACTATCAGAGTTAGAAATTAAAGCTTCACCAAAAGTTCACAAGCAAAACTCTCCAACTAAACCACTTTCTTTTAAAGTTTATCTTTACAACTGCCAACATTTACTAAGTGTGCATCACAGAAAGCCATTCTCCTAACCACAAACATGAAGAAATGATGCACAATGCCAAATTCTTGAGCTCTCACTGGGAATGTATGTAGTCATAGGGATAAAGAATTAAGGATGCTTTCAAAACAATCTAACTGAAAATATAACGCAAAGAATATTGAGGTGCGGGTATAGAGAAGTAACAAGTCAGGGAAGGAAAATTTCTGACATAAGAAAATTCTTACTTACCCATTTAATATGTGTTCAAAAAGATGAACTTGACCATCTCTGCAAACAACAGCTAACTTAACGGGCTAAAAGAAAAAATGGGTCATAAATAAACTTCAGTCTACTCTAGTGGACAATTACTGTCATACTACACTTACAAAACTCCAGAGAGAAAGTCAGAACAGCAAGGATGCACAGTTGTTGCATTTAAAAATAATTACTGTCTTCAAAGTAACAATTCAAGTTGTTTTCAAGCTTATAAATAAAAGTTTTTAGGCCAAGAAGATAACACAGTCAAGGAGAATGCAGCTTGGAGGTTAGATGAGTGCAAAAGCGGACAACAGGAAACTGGTAGCCCCGCGTGTAATAGACCGGATTGCTCAAAGTGCCACTGCACCTGGTCCCTGCCTCTCAGGAGAGCTGACCAGTGACCTAATGGTTACTTCAAACCATCTAAGAAGATTTTTGTCATATTTCATTCTCTCTCCCCTTCTTTCCCTATTCATTAAATCATCAAAACCCCAATTTTAAAAATATTTGTGAAATCAGAAAACAAATCCTCAAAAATTGAGCCATTTACCTCTTCTTTGTTTTCTGACAAAGTCAAGTCGATATAGATAGGTTCATCTGTGACTGTGAAAGACATCACTGCATTCTTCTGTTTGTTTTCTGACCGGACCTGCCTAGATAACAAAACTGATATTAGGTAGTAAAACAATTTTTTTTTAAAGGCAAACACCAAAAAGGAGTCACAGCATTAGATCCCCAATAGTTTTTCATCTTTTGAAAACTAATAAAGTGACTAAAGATCAAAATAAGAGAAACACTTGTATCACTACTGTATAACATGGTTACCTGGGAAAAGAGAAAGCATTAATGCATTTCTGACAGATTTTAACAATGCATAACATCCTCTATTTTTTTCCATTAACCTATTTGTCTATCTGGATTAATGCCAATACCACATTGTCTTCATTACTGTAGCATGACAAGTCTTGAAATCAGATGAGTCCTCCAACATTTTCCTTCTTTTTCAAATTTGTTTTGGCTATCTATGTCCTTTGCATTTCCATTCGAATTTTAAAATCACATTGTCAATTTCTACTTGAGTCTGCTGGGATTTTGACTAGGTTTGCACTGAATCTATAGGTTAATCTAATAACATCACAGCAATACTGAGAGTCCAGTAATGTGCGTGCGTGTGTGCGCACACAAATGCTCCTCATTATTTATTCATTTCTTACTTGAAATTCACCTGCTTGCTAAAACTTACTTGTAAACCTCAAACTCAGTATTTGTGGAGCTTTCATGGTCTTTAACAGTCGTCCACCACTCACAAGGTTAAACAAGGCTATGCTCTGCCTTCTTCTTTCAGCTCTGATACTATTAAGTCCTTTTCCTCTGCTGCATCTTTTGCTTTTGTGCTTTCTATTGGTGATTTTACTGTTTAAGTAAAGTGTTGTCTAGTGTAACTAAGAGCAAAAAAGCTGTGATATGCATTATAGAGGAAATGCCTGTGTTAGGTAAACTCTGTTCTGACAAGAGTCAACCAACAATAGACAGAGACAAATCTTAAAGACACTGTGTGTTCAGCTCCAGATCACCTCAATAAAGCAGGTACAGCAATATAGCAAGTTGTGCTGGTGGAGCCATCTGTGAAGTACAATGAAGCGAAGCATGATAAAATAAGGTGTGTGTAAAATTGGATATCTTTAAACAGAAACACACATAAAACAAGATTACATACTGATTAGATGACAAAAATGTGACCAGAGAGGGTTGCAAGAAACCTAACCCTGTTATTTCCCTGAGGAGTAAATAGTTCAGTATCACTAAATCAGTGCTCATGAGAACTTCGTACAAAATAATTAGTGAATAACGAGAATTGACTCTATGTGTATACACACATATATGTGCAAAACCAACTCAATGAAGATAATCTTTCAACAAGGTGTACTGGGACCACCAGTATACAATCTATCAATATTTTTGTCTACAAGAAAATTAAGAGAATTAATTTGACAAATTCTAAGTTTTTCAAACAAGATTCATTTTAATATGGACATTCATATTAGACATGTTCAAAATTACTGCCATCAGACCACTATTTAGAGAAGAAACTGCTATCTTAGCCCAACGATCGGAGATAGTACTATTCTATACTAATAAAAGCTTAGGTCAGTGGTCAGCAAGCCCATTAGTCAACAGAGCCAAATATCAACAGTACGATTGAAATTTCTTTTGAGAGCCAAATTTTTTAAACTTAAACTATATACTAGGTAGGTACGTTATTAACTAATTAGAGTACTCCTAAACTGGCCTTTGCTAAAAACGTCCTCAATCTGATTGAGGTACGTTCGCTGAGGTCGACCCCTTCCAACTCTCCCATTCACACTTGTCTTGTATGTATAGTTGTTTCATCTATCTCCTTTCGTTCATCCTCTCTATATGTCCAAACCACCTCAACATACCTTTCTCAATCCTCAACACTACATCTTCTTTCACTCCACAATGTTCCCTAAAATTAACTTAATGAACTTTAGTTAAAGTTTTAAGTCAACTTCGCACTGTACATGCGCGCCCGCACGTGGTATTTTGTGGAAGAGCCACACTCGAGGGGCCAAAGATCCGCATGTGGCTCGTGAGCCGCGGTTTGCCGACCACTGGCCTAGGTGGTCCTTGTGCGCAACATCATCACAAGATGGCTGCGTGCACAGTGGAGGTGGGGCCGGGCAGCCGCTCCGCTCCGCACTGTGAGGCCAGGGGGTCCCATGGCTCCACATAGCTCGGAGGAAGCCGGTATTTCCGCCGCCTTGCATGAGGCAGCCTATCAGGCCAGCAGGGGAGGGCAGTTGGGGGCAACCAGGCCGGCAGGGGAGCAGTTAGGCTGGCAGGGGAGCAGACAGGGGGCGATCAGGCTGGCAGGCAGAAGCGGTTTGGGGCAATTAGGCAGGCGGACAGTTAGGAGCCAGCAGTCCCGGATGGTAATTATCAGGGAATGTTAGGTTCACTGGTCTACCAAAAAACAAAAGTTTTCATAGATGGCCTTATTGAGCAGCCTTTAAACATGGGCTTTTTGTTTTTGTTTTTTTAAATATATTTTACTGATTTTTTACAGAGAGGAAGGGAGAGAGATAGAGAGTTAGAAACATCGATGAGAGAGAAACATTGATCAGCTGCCTCCTGCACATCTCCTACTGGGGATGTGCCCGCAACCCCGGTACATGCCCTTGACCGGAATCGAACCTGGGACCTTTCAGTCCACAGACTGACACTCTATCCACTGAGCCAAACCAGTTTCGGCGTAAACATGGGTTTTTTTACGTTTATCCCTGTTACTAGGAAGCTCACAGGATCTAAACACAACAAAAATCACCTTTTCTTTTACAGAAGAAATTTTGTAGCCAGAGTCCCTTAGGTCTGGGGGTAAAACAAACAGGTAAAACATTTAAGTCAGCCGAAACCGGTTTGCTAAGTGGATAGAGCGTCGGCCTGGGGACTGAAGGGTCCCGGGTTCGATTCCGGTCAAGGGCATGTACCTGGGTTGCGGGCACATCCCCAGTGGGAGATGTGCAGGAGGCAGCTGATCAATGTTTCTCTCTCATCGATGTTTCTAACTCTCTCTCTCTCCCTTCCTCTCTGTGAAAAATCAGTAAAATATATCAAAAAAAAACAAAAACACATTTAAGTCAGAAGTACCTTAGTAATATCAGAAGACTTTGGTGGCAGAATTTAGCTTTTTGGCATTACTAATTCCTTATGTAAGTGTTAAACCCTCAAGAACGAAAAGAAATCACATCAATAGGTATTCCTCAAACATCAGACACAGAATAGAAAACCAATGTAATCTGCCCAGCCCATGTTGCTCAGTGGTTGGGCATTGACCCAGAAACCAAGGGGTCACAGTTCAATTCCTGGTCAGGGTACATGCCCCAGGTTGTAGGCTCAATCCCCAGTAGGGGGCATGCAAGAGGCAGCCAATCGATGGCGTTTCTCTCATCTATGTTTCTATCTATCCCTATCCCATCCTTTCTGTCTAAAAAAATCAATAAAAACATTATTTTTTAAAAAAGAAAACCAATGTAATCTGATTGAAAAACTACTTCTACATTTTAAATCTCTATTTTGTCCATGAATAATAGCCAGTTGAAAAAAAGTTAACTTCATCATCAGATGATGCCATAAAATCCAATAAATTCCTCGTATTTCTTAAATTTGAAAACTTTTTGATGGCACTTTAATACAAAATTAATTTTTACTTTTAAAAGTAGTTCCAAAAATATAGCCAAGTAGTTTGATGTCCTCAGCAAATCATCAGTAAACATTACTGTACTAACCCAGTAGTCAGTCATCTATTTCAACAAACTCAGATTTTCCTGAAAATTTTTAAAGGTTACTTTTAAATTGCCCACTCATAAAAATATTGAGCCCACTACACCTCTAAAGAATGGAGGAAGTTTTATTATACAGTGCTCTTAAATTTTCCTGATATAGGTCAGTTTAAGGCAGGCTCAATTCTTCATTACAAGTCAATATAAATCTAACATTGACTACAATAAAGCAAGTCTCATATTCATCGTTTATATTAACCATATAAGCTGTGATGGATTCTTTCAAGGCAAAGTTACCTCCCAAATCCAAAAGATTACGTACCAGACATTAAGTAACCGGTCATGTACTGCTCCAGATAAAAAATAAAGACCTGAAATTCCATCAAATGGCTGGCTCTCATTAGGAGGTCTGATAGTAGTGAACATAAGTGATGAAACCGGTGTTGCATGTCCCGTGAAGTGCTAAAAAAAAAAAGTTATTTCATGTGTATGAGGATAGAGTCCATATGTATCAGAAGACATATCTGAAAACAGAGCTCCAGACTAAAGTTAACAAATTTAATTCTAAGAACTAAGGTTATTTGTGCTATATTCTCACTTCTTAAAAAGTCCACCAGAAAAAAATTAAAATTAAGATGCTCCTTTTAATTCCCATGACAGTACTCCACTACCTGTGGTTCTGCCATTTTTGAGTTAAAGATCCACTTAATTCTACTCAATTTTTAAAGGGCTGATAAGGTGCTCAGACACAGCCAAGGAATTGTAGGTCTTCATTTACTCTCAGTGAGTCGAAACCACAATTTTAAGGCATCATCACAGCACCAAAAGTTCAGTAGTCCCTAAGAACACTCAAATCTAAAACTAATCTTCAGTTAAATACTTTAAGTGGACCAAATGCTGGTTGCAAGCTAGAAATCAAAATCACTAAATCACTGCATACTAGAGTAAAAGATTTTTAATTATAATTCCACTCATTTGGTCTATTCATTTTCCCAATGCATGTGGAGTGGACATGTATAACCTATTTAATATTTAACATCAACAAACCAGATTTGGAGGCTAACTTTTGTCTATTAATTCTATTATTTGATATGTTTAAAAATAAAGAATCTGTTTTGTTTTTAAATGTTTTTACTGATTTTTAGGTAGAGAGAAAGGGAGAGAGGGGATAGAACCATCAATGATGAGAGAAAATCATTGATCAGGTACCTCCTGCATACCCCCTGCCCCCTACTAGGGATCGAGACAGCAACCCAGCATGTGCCCTGACCGGGAATCAAACTCAGGATCTCTTGGTCCATGGGATAATGCTCAATCCACTGGCCACACAAGCCAGGAAAGAGTCTGTATTCTTAAAATAATATACTATGGCTCATAACCTCTGATTTCTCCATACTTACTTTAGATGACTTATTATGCTTACAACTAATTTGATTCACTCACTCTGTAGAGTTCTTTGGTCTCCAAAACCCACAGTTTGATTGTTCGACCAGCTGAAAGCAACATCTTTCCATCTGGGCTGATACACAGGGAACTAACGCTGCTATTGTCACCTTTCCATTTGCTGTATTGTGAAGAGAAACAAAAATATCTCAATACAGAGGAAACTTTCTTCAAAGCAAAACCATAAAAGACAAATCAGACATTAAAAATATCAATTAAGGTTCAATGCCAAATTGCATTCCCTAAAAGCTTATGTCAAGAAACTAACCTTGAACATATCACTAAGGTAAAGCCTCCCTGATAAGATTGGTTCTTAAAAGGTATCAGGAAATGGTTAAGAGATGTTAAGAATGTAAAATGGGTAGTTGCATACCCTGTGATCCATGAGGTGGATTTTGTTAATGCCAAGAAATTACCATGCTGGCTGAACCTCTGCAAGTCCATCCTATCCCCGCCCCCCCGCCATGGTTCCTTGCTCTGGAGAGCTGGCTTTATATGTATGTATATATGTATGTATGTATTTTTATTGATTTCAGAGAGGAAGGAAGAGGGAGAGAGAGAGCTAGAAATATCAATAATGAGAGAGAGTCATTGATAGGCTGCCTCCTGCACACCCACCCCGCCCCACTGGGGATCGAGCCCGCAACCCGGGCATGTGCTCTTGACCAGAATCGAACCTGGGACCCTTCAGACCACAAGCCAACGCTCTATCCACTGAGCCAAACCAGCTAGTGCTGGAGAGCTGGCTTTTTAAAAAATATGTGTATTTTTATTGATTTCAGAGAGGAAGGGAGAGGGGAGATAGAAACACCAATGATGAGAGAGAATCATTGATCGGCTGTCCCACACCTCCCCCACATGCCTCCTGTTGGGGATTGAGCCCGCCACCTTGGGCATGTGCCCTGATAAGGAAGTGAACCGTGACCTCCTGGTTCATAGGTTAACACTCAACCACTGAGCCACACGGGCTGGGCTGGAGAACTGGCTTTTAATTTACCTAATAATACAAATGACTCCTCAACCAAAAAGGTTATTTCATCCCAAATCCACATAGATGAGCCCCATCTGATAGGGTAAATTAGTTGTAGATGATTCCTTTTTAATACCTCAAATACAATTAGTAACGTGAGTCTTTGCAGTTTGCTGCACACATTAATACTGTCATAGGCAGCAGGGAGCTTAGCTATTCACTTATAAATCAAGAAATAATAGTAGCAAACTTATGACCAAAAGGGGTTAACTCTAAAGTGAAAGAAAATGTATTGCTCTACCAATCACATTGGAATGTCAAATTACTCATTTGAAAAAAACTTAAGATTCCTACCTTATAATATATGCACATAAGACTTACTAAAAATAAGTACTGAAAAACACATAGAACCAACTTTATAATCCTGGGGTTAGGACAGGTTTTCCAAAGCAATTACAAACCAGAACTCATAAAGGAAAAAAAAAAATTACCTGATTTATATCTGTACAAAATAAGTGATAAAATAAAAGCAAAAGGCTAGGAGAAAATATTATACGTATATACTAGCCCCACTGGCGTGGCTCAGTGGTTGAGTGTCGACCTATGAACCAGGAGGTTATGGTTCGACTCCCTGTTAGGGCATATGCCCGGTTGCGGGCTCAATCCCCAGTGTGGGGCGGGCAGGAGCCTGCAGATCAATGATTCTCACCATTGATGTTTCTATCTCTCTCTCCCTCTCCCTTCCCTCTGAAATCAATAGAAATATATTTCTTTAAAAAGAAAATGCCAGCACAGAGCTAATATCATCACCACTTCCTCCACCCGCTCCCCCATTAAGAGCTTTGCAAATCAAAATGTAACCCTCCTATATCAGCATCACCTGAAAATTTATTAGAATTACATATTTCCAAGCCCCAACCTAGACCTACTAAATCAGATCTGTATGCACAAGTACTGTATATGCACAGCAGAGCTTGAAAAACACTCAATCAGAAGACTCCACTCTGGGAAATGTGATTGGTTCCAGAAGAATGACCCACACACTGAAATCTGAAGGCTGCCCAATAATTCTACAAATGAAGTCCAACAATTGAGCCACACAACACACACAGTCCTTCCAGTAAGATTTTTAATGTTTCATTTTCAAAAGCAACAGCCAGCCAAAGACCTGCACTCTTTTGAAGATGCCTTTCACATTAAAGACAGAGATTGAAATCAAACAAAACACAAGGGACAAAAGAAATAAACTTTAAATCCTATAACTAATATCTTTAGAGTTAGAATACAGTAAGTGCATAAAAGGAGCATGATGCAACAAAAAATATTAAGAGAACAAAAAATAGCTCCTGTAAGTTAAAAAATATGGTAAGAGAAATTTAAACATTCAATAAAAAATTTGAAGATAAAATTGAAAAAATTCCCCAGCTAACAGAAGAGAAAGACAAAAGAGAAAAAATGAGAGAGAAAAAAATACAAATCTTAAAGCAGTAATCCAGAAGATATAAAATCTAAACAACAGTGAATTCAAGAGAATGATTGAAAAAAAATTATAACAACAACAACAAAACCACAGAGGGGACGAATATAGTAAAGAAAATTGAAGAATACAAATTTCCAGGCCAAATGGTCTCCCAAATTCCAATATAATTCAGTGATTAATGAAAAAAAAAATCTCAGGATATGTTAGAGTACTAAGGATAATTAACACTGAAAGCTATAAAACCAATGAACCAATGCTTCAAAATACTGAGGGAAAATTATTTCCAACTTAAAATTATTTATCTTCAAACTATGAATCAACTGTGAGGCTAGAATAATGACTCTTGTGAGCAAGCAAAATTTCAATAAATTTAGCATCCATGCACCCTTTCTTAGTAAGTTTCACCAAAAGAAGGGAGCAAAAAGACCCCGAATAGCCACAGCAATCCTGAGGAAGAAGAACAAAGTTGGAGGGATCACAATACCAGATATCAAGCTATATTACCAAGCCACAGTTCTCAAAACTGCCTGGTACTGGCACAAGAACAGACATAGACCAATGGAACAGAACAGAGAACCCAGAAATCGATCCAAGACATTATGCTCAATTCATTATTGACAAAGGAGGCAAGGGAATAGAATGGAGTCAAGACAGTCTCTTCAATAAATGGTGCTAGGAAATTTGGTCAGATACATGCAAAAAAAAAAAAAAGAAAAAGAAACTAGATCACCAACTTACACCAAACACAAAAACAAACTCAAAATGGCTAAAGGACTTAAATGTAAGATGGGGAAACTATAAAAATCCTGCAAGACTCCAAAGGCAGCAAAATAGCAGACATACGTTGTAGCAATGTCTTTACCAACTCAGCCTCTAGGGCAATGAAGACTAAGAATGAAATGAACAGATGGGACTACATAAAAAAAAAAAAAGCTTCTGCACAGCAAAAGAAACCATCAACAAAACAACAAAAAAGCCCTCTGCATGGGAGGGCATATTTGCCAATGCTATTTCAGATAAGGGTTTAATCTTCAAAATTTACAGAGAACTCATACAACTTAACAAAAGGAAGATAAACAATCCAATAAAAAATGGGCAAAGGACATAGACACTTTTCGAAAGAGGACATACAAAAGGCCCAGAGACACATGAAAACATGCTCGAAGTCACTAATCATCCCAGAGATGCAAATCAAAATGACAATAAGATCTCACACCTGTCAGACTGGCTATCATCAATAAATCAACAAACGACAAGTGCTGGCGAGGATGCGGAGAAAAAGGAACCCTTGTACACTGCTGGTGGGAATACATACTGGTGCAGCCACTGTGGAAGACAGTATGGAGTTTCCTCAAAGTTAAAAATGGAACTCCCATTTGACCCAGTAATCCCACTTCTAGGATTATAAACCAGAAACCAAATACAAATAAAGGCTACATCTGACAAGAGAATTTTCAAGATGACGGAGAAAGGAAATCCCAGGACAACTGCTCAGCAGACCCTCCAAGAAACCAGAATCACCAATCAGAAAGGATATATGCACCCCTATGTTCATAGCAGCACAATTTACAAGAGCAAAGATTTGGAGGCAACCTAAGTGCCCATCAGCAGATGAGTGGATCAAAAAATTGAGGTACATCTACACAATGGAATACTACACCACTATAAAAAAGAAGGAACTTTCACCATTTTGCAACAGCATGGATGGAACTGAAGAGCATCATGCTAAGTGAAATACGCCAGTGGGAGAAAGATAAATATCATATGATCTCACTCATATGTGGGATACAATGATCACATAATCTGATGAACAAAAATAAATAGATCCAGAAACAAATGGCGGGGTGGAGGAGCAACCAAAGGACTTGTTTGCATGCATATTAGCATAACCAATGGACACAGACACTGGAGTGGTGGGGGCTTGCCCGGGGTGGGAATGGCTGCGGGGGGGGGGGGGGGGGAGGGGGGGGAGGGTGTCAATCAGGGAAAAAGGAGACAATAAAACTTTAGACAATAAATAAAAAAATAAAAAATTGAATAAACTTGGTTTCATGGAGGGGAAAAAAAAGGAGCAAACCAACAATGAAACATGGAATTTAGGAAATAAAGGCTACATCTGACAAGAGAATTTTCAAGATGACGGAGAAAGGAAATCCCAGGACAACTGTTCAGCAGACCCTCCAAGGCAGAAGTCCTCCAAGAAATAAATGTAATTGGAGGAAAGCCTCCAATAAATAAAACTGATGTGTCTAAAAATAACTGAGAATTATATACTACTATAGAAGTGAGAATGAAATGACAGGTATATACAAACCTAAGCAAATGTACAATAAGTCCCTCAAACTAGCTTCTTCCTATATATTCTAGACATTGGTGACAGATTACTTTTTTCCAAAGCATTATTTTGGTTATTTTATTTCCAAGACACTGCCCTTCACTGACTCTCTCCTGCTTACCAAATAGTTGTTTGTGGTTTTTACCTGCCACTTAAGGCCAGACTCTTAAGATACTTTGGTTCATACCCTCTACCAAAAAACTCTAATATGTCCCTCATCTAAGTACTCTACTCAGTTCTAAGAAAATATCTCACTTCCTTTTCTCCTAGACTTTGCCATTTCCCCACCTTCCTTTCCCCATCCTTGGCAGGATTCTCCCAGCCTTTTCTATCCAAATCTTATCTACATTCTAGAAAGCCCAACAGAAATCTCTACTCTTCCACCAGGCCTTTCCAACACTACCCTACTCATGTGACCAGTCATCACATGCTATCTGATGACATCTCTTGCGCAGTTATCTTTTATACCATTATTTAACTTTTGTGTATGCAAGATTTCATTAAAAGTTCCTTGCCTAGCCCTAACCAGTTTGGCTCAATGGATAGAGCGTCAGCCTGCGGACTCAAGGGTCCCAGGTTCGATTCCAGTCAAGGGCATGTACCTTGGTTGCAGGCACATACCCAGTAGGGAGTGTGCAGGAGGCAGCTGATTGATGTTTCTCTCTCATCGATGTTTCTAACTCTCTATCCCTCTCCCTTCCTCTCTGTAAGAAATCAATAAAATATATATATATATTTTTTTAAAAAAGTTCCTTGCCTAGCTGATGTGGCTCAGTGGATTGAGTATTGTCCTATGGACTAAGAGGTCCCAGGTTCGGTTCCCGGTCAAGGCACATATCCAGGTTGTGGCCTTGTTCCCCAGTAAGGGGTGTGAGGAGACAGCCAATCAATGATTCTCTCATGGATGTTTTTATCTCTCTCTCCCCACCTCTCTGAAATAAATAAAAATATATTTTTCAAAGTTCCTTGAGGAGAGTCTATAGCCTTATAGACTCTTAAGCCTGTAAGAGTGGCAACATTCCCCAATATCAAATTTTACTTATAGCAAGAATACAATATTGGGGGAAAATAAAAAAGAACACAGTCTTGATTTGTATCTCCAAGTCACTCCTCTAATACTGCAGAACCATCAATGTTACTCACCACTTTACTTTGCACGTCTGTGTATTCCATTCCACAATATGTTTATCATCTGAACAACTATACAAACAGCCATTGTCTTGATGCCACTGTATGCAATTGACTTTGTTGTCATGTCCACCGCTCTGTAAATTTAAAAAAAGGAGATGAAAGGAAAAAAATCTCATATGCACCCTGGAATTATCACTAAACAGTTAACTAAAACATTAGGCTGAGGTTAAACTAAAAACACCTATATCTATCTCTTTCCAACATCAAAAATGAGATGAATCAGCCGTAATTTCATCAAATGCTAACCTTCCCTTCTCTGCTGGAAAAACATACTTCTACATGCTAAGTTAAAGGATCCTAATCCTAACCACAACTGCTTTTAACAGGTATGCCACCATAAAACATGGCACATACTTCATATACAGTGGCAAAAAAACTGTGACACCTGAGTGAACTAGTAAAGTCCAATCCTAAGAGTTTAAAGTCAACATTTTAGATAAAAATCATGGCCAGTCAAAACTATCATTGAAAATCCTTTTTAAAAGGTGCCAAAACTCTCTCTCAATAAAGAAATCACTGTTATTTTCAGGCAAACACTAAATGTTTCTTTGGGTCTTAGATATCATATTAATGATACTTTAAACATTTTAAACATGGCAAGATGCTCGCTTACTCAGAGGCACAAGATTTTAAAAAAATTTCATCGCTTATCAAATTAGCTGTTTTTTGGTTAGTGTTATTGCTGTTTTAATGGCAATGTTCAAAGGAGGCAATAATTCTATTGGTACTATCCTTCCATTGCTGATGTAAGTACAAATCAGGAAAACTCTTCCAGCAGGTATTTTTCTACTATGTATAAAACCCCTTAATTTTCAAAACCTTTGACTCATTAATTACAGGTTAGTAATTCTGGGAATTCATGTAAAAAATAAAATTAGAACATCAAACATATATCAGAAACCACCTAAATGGTAATAGTTAAATCATTAAGGAACTATCCAATTTAATGGTATTTTAGACAGTCATTAGAAGTATTTATAAATAGTTCTTGACAAATATGAAAATTGTTTACGTTTTAATGGGATGGAAAATATCAGGATACAAAATAGATGAACAGACACCCCAAATGTACTTTTTAAACATATGCATAAAGCCAAGAAATATATAATCTATCAAATAGGACCTTTCAGTAATAGATTTAGGTATAAAATTTTTCACTTTTCAACATTACGTAGTTCAAAATTATCCATAGGTAAGATGTTACTTAAAAAAGAAAACATTTACTCATATCTACAGAAAGCATTCCTATATAGTGAACACCAAAATATATATTGCAATAAATCTTGTCCGAAACAAAGTGTGTCAGAAGTTACTATCTTGCAGAGGTAAATCCCCACTTCTCCGCTCTGCAATGCCAGGGCTGGCTTCGACAAACCGTATTTCTGTTTTGCCAGCTGCATGGCCAGGAGACTCCACCAATAAGGGGTGCTAAGGGAGACAAGGGACTTATTCCTTCCTGTCTCCCAGTTTGCATCACCCCACTGCTTCTTCAACGCAGCAGTGGCAATCTTTTTAGCAGTGGCTGAATGCAATTTGTCCAGCACTTGGAGAACCAGTTTCATCACCTCCCTTCAGAGACACCAGCAGTCAGCTGGAGCCCCTTCCTCAGAGTTCTGGACCCCGGGCCCATGGGGCCAACTCCTGCTCAAGAGACAGCGCCACATGAAGAGCCACTTGCTCAGCAATAATTCCAACCATCTCCTTCGTTCTCTAACCTAGAGATGGAGGACTTCTTCCTGCAGTTGTTATCTGTGATACTTAGCATTCTTTTTGCCCTTTCTTGTTTTCAATTTAGTCAACATTTTTTCATATCCTGATGTATAAGAACAATGTTGCCTATCATAGCTATGATTAAATATTATGTTCAGAATTTTAAATGTGTAAGGGGCAAAAAAATGCACCCATAGTGCACCTGTAGCTCCTACAGCATATCCTAAAGTTTTTATTTAATAAATCCCTTATCTTTATATCACATACACACATACTTACTACTAATTTACTGTGTAATTCTCCTTTTACTGTACTGTATAATAAAATACTACCAACTGCTGTACCAAGAGCCAACAAGTCAATCTGGTTACTTGTTTCTATAGGTTCTGATTTCCTTTTTTTCCTCTGGGGACTTTCCTAAAAATAAAAGAAAAAAAATGTTTAGTTTGTATTTTAAACACTGAAACATCATTAATGCATAAATGCAAATGCCCAATAGCCCACAAAGGAAATGTAATTGCACTAAGTGACATTACTTAAAAAAAAAAAAGTGGAGGTAGGATTCCCACTTTCTCACTACTTAGAAAAAAAATCAATCCAACAGAAGAAGAGCGCCTAATTCTTGTCCCCCTATCTCAGCCGTGGGCAAACTACGGCCCGTGGGCCGGATCCGGCCCGTTTGAAATGAATAAAACTAAAAAAAAGAAGAAAAAAAAAAGAAAAAGACTGTACCCTTTTACGTAATGATGTTTACTTTGAATTTATATTAGTTCACACAAACACTCCATCCATGCTTTTGTTCCGGCCCTCCGGTCCAGTTTAAGAACCCATTGTGGCCCTCGAGTCAAAAAGTTTGCCCACCCCTGCCCTATCTCCTACTTCTCTGGAAGGAAGGTGTCAAATAGAACAACTTGGTACGCTCTTGATATTCTCTTAACAAGTCCAATGCTCCAATCCCAAGCAGAGAGATGACAGACCCATACCTATGTAGCCAACATCCCCCCTTCCACCTCATCTTTTCTTTCACATTCTAGCTTCGTTTTTAGGAAAACAGACACAAATGTTTTAATATTTATAAAATGCATTTACTTCAATTTGAGTGAAAAAATTGCTGTAACTAAAGAGCAGCACAGAGTTAGTCTAAAAGTTCCATGTTGTCTTGATTCCAATGACAGCAGAGGCACAACTTTAAATCTAGTGTCAAAGGCGACAGACTTGGATTTATTTCAAAAATGATAGTAACAGCTGTCTGTCCATCAAAAGACAACCAATGATTCCAACTTCAGAGTACTATGTCAGTTTATAATGCTGAAAAATTATAATTTCTGAACTTATCTTCCATGTTTGTAATTTCTTAAAATCAAAGCTTCCCAGCCTCTATTTTAGCATAAAGAAGCTGAAAAATCCATTCTTTTAGTGTAAAACGGACCAATACCCAAAGGGACATTTTCCCAGTACTGCACGATCTTTGCTCTACAGCACAAAAAAGCAGTCCAGGATACACAAAAATCTGCTCAACCCAAAACCCACCAATGAAAACTATGTTACCAGTGCATAAAGAATATCAAGGAGTAGATTTATAAGGCATTTTCCATGTTTTTCTTTATGTTATCTTATAGAGATGGTACATTTGAAGAATGATTCACTGGGCATACTTATCAACAACAATAAAAAAGATTTAACTAAAAATAGGTTAACGTTTCTACAGAAAAAATAACACACATTTAGCAAGTCTTGAAAAATGTATCCACCTTCATAGACCCAAAGAGATGTTACAATTAAAAGCCGAAATATAAATCAATCTGATAATCTCTAGAGTAACATTTAATTTGCTTGAAGCTTTGAAACTTTAGCACAAGGTTTGTCCTAGATCCCAATTTCAGTTAAATGAATTTCTAAAGCCACATCTGAATGATCCCAGAAAACAAATGTGGCTTCTCATATGGTTATGAACACAAATCCCTATTCAGGTGAGGATAATGGGGAAAGTATACCCATCTACTACTACCTCATCAGGAAACTCTGAGTCTAGAAATTATTTCTTCTGCTTTTGATTTTCCCAAATCAAATTAGAATTTATCTACACTGAGGTTTCTAACCTGTAAAACACAGGCTGGCCTAAATATATGCAATATGTTTTTCTGTGGATTTGCATTTAAAAGCACATAAATTTTAGAAATTAAACATTAACATATTCAAAGCCCTAGTTTTCCTATCAGCAAAATGTGTTTTTGGGAGAAGCAAGCAGAGTGAACAAGTGGTAGTAGTATTCAATTTTGAGGATTAACGATCTAAACCTAAATGTAATCTAATTAATTAATCTCAAAGAATTACTGACTCATGTATGTTTTCTCAGTGTTGGAAGATGTTTTTAAAAATAACTTCCCATTCAGCAGGATGAACATGTCTAAACATGTAATACATCAACCAGTTAAGAAGTTTCAATAACCAATGTGCATTTTAGTGAACTCTAATATTTAGAGTACTACCTCATTACTAAATGTTTCTGAAACCAAATGTTTAGTGCACCTAATGATTACAGTTTATAACAGGCCTTTGTTGGCATTTTCTATCTGAACCTGTTATTCCTGTGATCAAAAATTTCAATGACTCCCCAGAGAAGAGTAAATCAACAACATAAACTAGCTGGCATTCAAAGCATCCCCAATTTGCCTCCAACTCATCTTTTCCAGCCTTATTTTCAATTCCACCCTTACATTACACTCCCTAATCACAAATAAACTTTCCCACTTTGCCTTTGCTTTTACCTGCATTTGGAGGGGCCTTTTCCTACTCATCTCAATGATCATTTGGTTTAAAAAAAAAATCTATCCATGCTTCAAGGTCTAACTCAAATATCGTTTCTCCACAAAAACCTCCTTTTCTTAAGGCACAAGTGATACTCTGCTTTGCACTTCAGATGCAATATATCTGAATTGTCTTTATTCTAGCATGCTGTTTTGTTTCCTCTAACCTGCCTAGCACAATGTTTGTGCACATAAATTGTACACGTAAATGTAATAAGTAATGGAAAGGGTAGGCTAAAAATTTGGTTCCTATATGTATTTGTGATCGAAAAATCTGAGTTCCTGAAGGTACCAGGAGTGAAGACCAAAAGGATATGATTTTTTTAGACTAGAATCTTTCTCAATATGAAGGTGAAAGTGAGCTAAGCAATAAATACCACACCAGTCTGAAGACAGATGATCAGAATTTGATCCAGAAGGCAATAAGGCTGAGTGAGAGACCGAATGGCACATGTACATAATTTACAAAAGCAAGACACAGTACAGATGTGGTGAAGACAGAAAAAAAAGCATATCCAGGTAATGAGAAGTCTGAATTTCACCAATTTGGTAATGACATTTTGGACTAGATCCCAGAATAAGAAAAGCGTTTACGTGGAGCCAGTGCATCCTTATAAGAATGTGTGTACATATAAGTGAAACAAGTTTCACCAAAAATGTATCCTTTACCATGCAAAATACACTCTAATATTGTCTTATGCAATCACAACCCCCTAAATCTATTTCATAATCCACTAATGGATCAAAACCTATTTTTGAAAAATACTGACCTCTAGACACTGCAAATTATGCCAAAGTTTCAAGTTTCATTCTGCAATTAGTTTTCTATGCCATTTCTTGGCCTTAGTTGCTTCTCTGGCAAATGTTTCATGGACAGCAATGAACAAAATGTGTGCATTTTATATATAATTACATATAGTATTTATACAAAAAAAACCCAATTACATTCTAATACAAAGGAACATCTATTTCTGCCAGTGGGATCTTATCTGCAAAGTTTACCTTCTTTTGACGTTTGAATACCGGGGAGACCTTAAGACAGAGCATTGTACAAGAACACACTGGATTGTGCTACATCTCTAAGGACAAGGAGTGGGGATGCTCATCTCAGATTTTCCCAGAAGTATCCTTTATGCGACTATGCTTGCCCTGTGCAATGTCTGAAATGCCATGTGCTTCATTCAGCAAGCCCTAAGCTGTGTGAGTGTGCTTTGCTGTGATAGCAAAACAGCATAAATATATTTACTGTGGTAGCCAATAGTAAACAAGGTCTACTTCTCCAGGCTCTATAGCAGAGAAGGAAAAGGAGAAAAGTTTGAAAGATTTAAGGGGGGAATGAAAGAGCAAGTCTGTTCCTAGGTGGCTTAACCACTTATTGTGTGGCTTTGGCATACCATATAACATCTCAGCCTTGGTTTATACACCTAAACCTGAGGAGCTCAAGCAATAGCATCCATCCATAGTCCATCAATGTCTCCCTGTACTTTTCTTGTCATCATTAAAGGTCCTCTTCACTCAGGCTCCATCAACCAAATGGAAATGCCCAGCTACATAATATGTACAAAAACCCTTTAGAAACTACTATGGCATAAATGCAAAGTATTATAATCATTCTGTGACTGAGAACAAGAAGCAGCAGTCTAAATTTGCTACACATTTATGAACTGCTTTAACTCATTACCCTAGAAAAACAGCACCACCCCATTTTCTCTCCATTGATAACATCACCAAACTTTCTTCTCGGGTGGTGAATTGCCAATCACTGAAACATAGAGGGTATTCTTACAAACTGATTTTCATTGAGGAATGTAGCAGTAAATGATAAATGAGTCCATATGGATCACTCGTTGACTCATTCAATTAATAGGAACTAACCTTTATTGAGCACTCACTACATGCCAGACCATGCTACTCCAGTCATAGTGTCTCAACTCCAGTGGCCACAACTACTTTATTGGTTATTAAGGCTTTGGTGAAGTCATTTAAACTTTCTTAGTTCTGATTCTTAGTTTTAAGAAATGTAGTAACTTCAGGGGATTTCATAGAGTTGTGTGGCTAAAATGAGAGAATACAGGCAAAAGGATACGAAACCTATTTTTAATGTAACCCCTCACACTTTGCAATGAGGCCCTCAAAATTAAAGTGACTTGCTCAATGTGACAAAACCAAGTTTGAGTTGAGTCCAGTTATGAAACTAAATCCGGATAGTTTTCTATTGTATTAAAGTGCTATATTTAATTTAAAACTATGACTTTTAACAGGAAATTTAAGACTAGATAAATGTTTTATTTCTGAGACATTCAATGTGATTGTAAGTCTACAGGAAACCAGAATGGGCAAAAAAAAAATTTTGCCAGCCTAATATTAACTATTTGTTGCAGATAATGGAGAACTGAGCTCAATTTGTTGCTTTCTGCAAGTTGCTTAATTTTCCAGAGCCTGTTTCTTCTTCCCAAATAAGTCAAAAAGTTAGTCTTTACCCCGCAGAACTAACCCTACAAATATAAGACTAATAACAACAAAACTTATAGCACTTACACACCAAGAACTATTCTAAATGCTTTACACATTAAATAGGTAAACCTTCACAAACACTCTGTGAGGTGGGTACTATTAACTCCATTTTACAAATGGGGAACTAGACGAAGCTAAGCCTGGATTCACAGAAGGCAGTCCAGCTTAGCTGCAGTTCCCACGTGCGTGTGAGTTACAGCAGATGCGGCGGTGACTCAACAGGGGGTGGCATCTTACCTGAGATGGATCCCTAGCGGCGAAAAGCCTTCCCTACGTCGGCAGTGCCCCTTCTAAGACAAACTTCACCTGGACTCAATGTTTAAGTTAAACTACTTCACTTTACCTCCACATCCTAATACAGACTTCAGACTTGGGGGGGAAAGGATGCTTACAAAGGGAAGTAGTCGAGACGATGTTAAAGGTAAAAAAGCAAGAAGGTTCCGGCTGAGGATGGAAAGGAGCCTGGGAGAGTCAAGAGTGAGAGTCCCACGTCTTGGACGTGGAAGACAAACACGTGGTAAGCGGCACCCAGGGTGGGGTGCACGGAAGGAAGCAGACTTGTTGATTCGAGCCGCCCGGGGCAAATCCGACGAGAGGGGAGTGAGCGAGTCCAGGAGCGGTGTAGCCCCGAAGTGGGGCTCTGTCAACAGCCAGGGCTCAGAAGATCGCGTTCTGTTCAGCGAGGCCCGGCAGCCGGAGGGGACCAGGGCCTTGGCGAACATGGCGGCCCGGAGACAGCCAGCGGAGCGAGGGCGAAGACCGCGTGGAGCCCGCTGGTAGGGCTCCGGTCCACTGCCCGTCGGAGCGGGCCGAGCGCTCGGTCACTGCCCTCTGGACAGCCCGCCGGGGACTGGCGACGCGGGGCCCACTCCGCGCCGCCGCCACACGCAGTGCCTCCACGCCCCGGGCCCCCGAGGGCCCCGCGAGACGCGGGGTTACGGGCCGTGGGGCTGGGGGGGAGCCGAGCCGAGCCCGGGCGGACGCCCAACCCCCGCCGTCCCGCTCGCTTTACCTTGGCCTGCAACCGCGTTGGCGCCCATGCCAGGCAGGTGCAGGTACCGCTGAGGTGCGCGGAAGGCACGTACTCTTGATGCAGCCGGTTGTTGGCTGTCTCCCACACTCGCAGGTGACCATCGGCAGACGCCAAAGCGAAGAAGGCCTGACTATGCGGGGAGAAGGCGCAGGGGACCGCCGCGGAAGACAGGGAGTCGGCAACTCGGCCGCCACCCGCCGCCATTGCTGCTCGGCTCCGCGGCAGCCACGTGTTCGCTGGCGCGCGTGCGCACCGGCGCGGGGCGGGGCCTGAGGGAGGAAGTGGGGCGGAGGAAGTGGGGGCGGAAGGAGCCCGTGGAGTGGCTCTTCGCGACACCAGAGAACGTTGGGCGGGCCCGACCTGCGGACGGCGGCCCGCTGGGCCCAATGCTAACTTGTACTAAGTAGCGTGGACGCGTGGGGTAACTGGACGGTGCGTTGCAGGGCAGGGCCCATTCCTTTAAAACAAAAGGGAGGTTTGGGTTGTTTATTTGTTTTTGAAACAGTTTATTTTTCATCCACTTTATTTCCATTCTGTTTAAGAGTTTGGAGAAGAACAACTTAAGACCACGCAGTGGGTGTCCCTACCCGTTCAGCGGCCTGAGCCGGGGCGGGGGGGGGGGGGGGGGCTGCAGAGCAGTCTTCTGTGGCAGGCCGAGTGCTGAGTCTTCAATAGGAACCTGCTGAATAGGCACAGAGGCACCTGCTCGTCATCAGACCCATCCCTGGCCTCGGGTTGAGCTGCAGTGAACTCCGGAGCTGGAGCAGCCTTTTCACCCTAAAATTCTCTCTCTTTTCAATCTCTCCAGGCTCTCTGTAGTAGAGATCAGGCATGACCTCCCATGGATGTTCACGGGAGATGGTGCCGCGGTTGCACAGAACTTCCCGAGCCAGCATCCACCACATTAGACCCACTGATGAGCTCCTTGCTGTTGCAAGGGCTGGCAAAGTCCACATAGCACGGAGGAGAGTCTGCGTGACACAGCGCAGTGGTCGGCAGGTTATAATGTAAGACGTGTCTGTGAGAAGCTGGTGGTCAGCGCTAGACCAGTAACCACCAGGAGGCTCCCGTAAGACTACCTGGGTGTGGTTAGTGAAGATTCCAGGAGTAAAGCAGCTGGCAGTAAGAGCGGCTCCAGTGGCAAACTCAGCTTGCTGGCCAGCATTCCTGGACGATATGACACTGGCGCCAGCAGGGGTTTCAATGGCAACAGTGGCACGAACTGCCAGGAGCCTCTCCCAGGTGCTCTTCAGATTGATGATGTAGATGCCATCACTTTTCCTTTTGTAGATGTGCTGTTCCATTTGGAAGTCAAGGTCGGCGCCACCTAAGTGGGTTCCTGCTGCAAGGAATTTAAGGACAGGACATCCTCCTCCTTCACTTGCAGGACATCAGGGTCTCTGGACATTGTGAAAGTTTCCATTTCAGTTATGTGGGAACTGAGAACAATGCCATATGGGTAGTGTAGGAAGCTGTTTTCTATTTTTTGTTTTTTAATCCTCACCCCAGGATATGTTTATTGATTATGGAGAGAGAGAGAAAGAGAGAAACATGGATGTGAGAGAGAAACAATTAGTTGCCTCCTTTACATGCCCCAAACGGGGAGCGAACCCGTAACCTAGGTATGTGCCTTGACTTGGAATTGAATCCGAAACTATTTTTGGTGTACAGGATGATGCTTCAATCAGTTGAGCCACCCAGACAGGGCAAAGCTGCTTTTGTTTTTTTAATAACATGATTAAACAAATGTTTAAAGGAAATATTCACTTATAACTGCACGATTGTAACAATTGTTTCCATTTTTGCCTAACCATTTCCAATCTATAATCATGCATACACATAATAATAATGTATTCAGTCATAACAGTGTAAAAGTAAGTGAATGGTGCCATTAGTTGAATTGGGAAAACAAGTTTGGGTGGAGTGGAAATCAAGAGTTCTATTTTGGACAGTTAAGTACGATATGCCTATTAGACATCCAAATAGAGTTGTTCAGTAGGAACTTGGATATGTGAGACGATCACTGCTAGAGATACAGATTTAGGATGCATTAGAAGACGTGCTATTTGAAACGGTGGGGCTGGTCAAATTATATTGAGTGGTGTCTAATAGAAATGGAAATTCACAGGACTTGACCACTGATCAGAGGTTGTAAGTGTGCATATGTCTGTGCCAGAGAGAGCTTCACAGAGAGAAAAGTCATATGACTTGGAACTTTTTAGCCTAGAAATAATAGAAAATCGTGTGATTTTAACTGATACAGGGAATAGAAGAGGACCAGGGTTCCAAGGAACTGGAAGAACAAAAAGGAGAAAGGAGGAAATAATGAGTTAGTTCAGTTTCGGTCATGCTGAGTTCGAGGCACTAATAGGTCAACCAGAGATGGAGTCTAACAGTTTAAATTATGAATTTTATTTTAATTTTTTAAAGATACAAGAGCCTGTTTATATAGTTTCCCATTGTCTCTTCAATAGTGAACACTGCTTCAGCTACTTTACCCCTCAACAGACTTTTTTCTCCCACCTTCCCTATTTTTTAAAAAATATATTTTTATTGATTTCAGAGAGGAAGGGAGAGGAGAGATAAAAACATCAATGATGAGAGAAAATCACTGATAGGCTGCCTCCTGCATGCCTCACACTGGGGATCAAGCCTACAACCCAGGCATGTGCCCTGACTGGGGATCAAACCGTGACCTCCTGGTTCATAGGTCGACACTCAATCACCAAATTACTCAGGCCAGGCAATCAACAGACTTTTGAGCAGCTCTTGTAATACAACCACTATTTACATTAGATTAAAAATGTCCTATTTACAAATTTTAGGAACACATTTATTAAGTGGGGATTGCCTAAATAAGCAAGCATGCACCTGTGAGAGAAAATGCTAATTGCCTCCAAATCCACATTTTCTCCTTCAATATTAATAGAATTTCAGATTTTTAGTTAGGCCTATGGTCAGCTCTAATACAAACTAAATTCCGGGGGGAGTATGGGCGCAGGCTGGAAAAAGTTAATGGGGGAAAAAGGAGGACCTATGTAATACTTTTAACAATAAAGAGTTTTTAAAAACAACAACAACAACAAAAAAAAACCCTAAATTTCTCAGCTTCCCTTGCAGCTAGATCTGTCCATGTAATTAAGTCCTAGTCAATGAAATGTAAGCAGAAGTGACATGTGCATTTTCAGGGAAATATTTTTAAGGAAAGAGGGCATGACCTTCTTCCCTCTTCCTCCTTCTCACTGACTGAAATTGGGATGTAATGGCTGGAACTTGAGCAGCCATATCAAACTCTAACATAATCTTTGGAATAAGAGCACACCCAGGAATACCTGACACTTCAGAGTGCCATCTTAACCCTAAATTTCTTTCTTACAGACACATTGTCTTTACTAACATGTAACCTTACAAACTTGTTTAAAATTTTCAGGACACAAACAAGATTGTCATTTAATTAAAGAGGATTTCTTAGAGTATTAAAAGTTCACAATAATGGCACTTGTACATGGTCTTGCTAAGTTCTTGCTAAGTTTTTACTCTATGCTCATTTATAATCTACAATACAAAGAGTCAATATGAGAAAAAATTAGTGTGACTACAGTTTTAACAAAACTAAATAACAAGCAATGTATAAAAGAAAGAGTAGAACAGTATTTGTCTTGGGTATTCAGGGGAGTCTTCTGGAGGTATGACTAGGACTAGGACTCAATTATGCAAAGTAAATAAGTTAATGAATAGTTAATAAATAGATGTGCCCAAGGTTTTAAGTTTTTAAAAGGTTTTTAGTTTAGAGGAGTTTATTTATGTGCATTCATAAACAAAGACAGAGACCTTAAGCATAAAGCTTAAATGCTTCACAAATAACTTAATATTCAGAGGAATTGTGGTTGAGTGCTACAGGGTGAGTTGCTGGCTCTTGAGAAAGAGTTGGAAGGCAGAAAGGAAGGGTGCAGTGTGACAGTTCTCAGAGGACGAGATTAGACCTAGAACGAGTGAACCAGTTTGGAGATTTAAAAATGTCAGCCAGCCTGGCTGGTATGGCTCAGTAGTTGAGCATCGACCTATAAACCAGGAGGTCACAATTTGATTCCTGATCAGGGCATATGCTTAGGTTGCAGCTCGATCCCCAGTAGGGGGCATGCAGGAGGCCGCTGATCAATGATCAACATCAATTGATGTTTCTATCTCTCCCTCTCCCTTCCTCTCTGAAATCAATATATATATTAAAAAGCAAATCAAAACCAAAAGTAAAACATGCATTTGGGGGGGGGGGCGTGGTAAGGAGAAGGGAGGGGAGGAAGCAGTGTTTTCAGTTTTTAGGATCAAGAGAGAGAAATCCTGATGATAGAGTTTACCGTGGCTGATGTTTTAAAAAGCACAAATTAGAAAAGTATTAAGTCTTCAAAAGTAGTAAGATCTATTTTATAAAATTTAAACTGAATTCACAGCCCTTTGAACATATTTTATTTTAACTGTGAATTCAATTGCACTGTTGACTGGTCTTTGAGAAGGAGTATTAGATACAAAGAGCATGGACTGCTGAACCAGACTGACATAAATAGGAAACCCTGTCAGTTATGGGATGTATTCCAATTCACGGAATCTCCTTGGGTCAGTTTTCTTATGCATAAAATGGGAAAAGTTATTGCTAACACAGGGTTATTGTGAACTTAAATGAAATAAATATCTAACGTGCCTAATATTGCCAGACCCTCGGTAAATTTGTGCCAATTGAATTAATATTAAACAAGTTAGTGATATTTAACGTTAAATGAATCTTTGGAATCCAAAGGGAATCTTTTCCTGGTTGTGTTTTTACGAGTAAATTTATTTTTATTTAAATTTTTGGAGGGCGCCAAAACCTAGGAATACATTTTTAAAGAGAACCAATTAAAGAGAATCAGAAAATACAGTTAATGCTCTTTTTTTGGGGGGGGGGGGGGGCCTTAGACAATTTCTCACAGTTCTGGAGGCTAGAGGTCCACCATGGAGGTGTGAGCAGTTTGGCCTCTTGAGACCTCTCCCCTTGGTCAGTAGGTGGCGGGCTTCTGCCTGTGTCCCACTGTCTTTTTTTTTTTTTTTTTTTTTTAATGCATACACACTTTTTAAAAATATATATATTTTATTGATTTTTTTACAGAGAGGAAGGGAGAGGGATAGAGAGTTAGAAACATCCGTGAGAGAGAAACATCGATCACCTGCTTCCTGCACACTCCCCACTTGGAATGTGCCTACAACCAAGGTACATGCCCTTGACCGGAATCGAACCTGGGACCCTTCAGTCTGAAGGCTGATGCTCTATCCACTGAACCAAACCGGTTGGGGCTCCCACCGTCTTCTTATAAGCATAACAGTCCGACGGGACTAACGTCCATCCTAATGACCTCATTTTCGCTTAAGTGCCTCTTTAAAACCCTATCTCCAAATACTGTCATAGTCTGAGGTAGAGACATCGATTTCAACCATGAATTTTGGAGGGATGAATTAAGCCTTTAAACACCGCGCTACCCGGACATGTTTCAGCAGCGGCCTTTGAACCTTTTGAGATGCTTCTAGTTTGGGGGAGCGTAAAATACATAGGTAACTAAATGTTGCATTTTAATTATTAAAAACAACTATGTTTTTGTCTTTTTTTAAAACAACTGTTTTTAATAAATAATAAGCACAAAGTGAACCCTGCCACTACGATCTCTGGGCCTGGGGGGAGCGCCAGGCGGGGAAGGAGCGCGGGTCGGCGGGTGGCCAGATCAACCGCCGCCTGTCAAACGCCACTCGGGGCGTTTTACTTGCACCCCCTGGGGGAGACCCGGAGACGCCCGTGTTCCTGACCACGACAGCGCCGGCCCCGGTACAGAATTTAGCGCTTTCACGGGCTCTGTCGCTCCTAACCCGCCTGTCCCCGGCGAGGCGGTTGGAGACTTGCCAACGGTCAACTGCTCCTTAGACTGTCCACACTTCCAAGAAGAAAATGGCCCCCGGGGGCTTGGGACGCGCTCCTGGGACGGTCACGGAGCGAGGACTCGGCGGCCCCGCGCCCCCGGCTCGGCCTCCAGCCCCTCGGGACGCAGGCGCAGTCACTGAGCTCTCCCCGCGGAGACGCTCCCGAGCTCGCCCGCGCGCTGGGCGGCGAAAGGCGGGGCCTCGCCAGGCCCGACGTCACTTCCGTGGGACGGCGCGGGCCCGAGTCAGCATGTTGTCGGCCGGTCACCGCGGTCCAGTCTTGCTCCGGCTGCGGCGCTTCAGGCGGCGGCCGGGGGTCGCGCCCTGGCCGTCCCTGCGCGACCTTGGACGGGAGCCCGTCGAGAGAGCTCGGTCCCGGTGTAGCGACTCCTCGCAAAGAGACGCGCGAGATGGACGGAGAGAGCGCGAGGCCGCGCCGAAGAAGGCTCCCGCCGCAGAGTCGCCTCCATCACTCCCTCCGAGCGGCCGGGGCATTGGGGCCAGGTGTCTTTCGTCACTGGAAAGCCTCCGACCGCCGGCGCCTCGAGAGGAGCCATCCCTTGGAGAGCGCGAGGACTCGAGCGGAGACCTGGCCCTGGCCGATCCCGCACACCGGGCGTCCGGGGGTCCCTCGCTGCCCGCCCTGGTGGCGGAACATCACGGCTCCTCTCCCTGGTCCGCTTCCAGGGAGGAGCCCTTTCGGGCTGGGGAGCTGATTTTAGCTGAGACTGGGAAGAGAGAAACACACTTTAAAAAATTGTTTCGGCTGAGCAACGCCGGGCGTTTAAATAGCAGCTGGGGGGTAGTCCCGTTCAGCGACATCGTGGGGAAGTTCCCCGGCCAGGTGCTGAGGAGCTCCTTTGGTAAGCACTTCCTGCTCAGGAGGCCGACACTGGAAGACTATGTGTTACTGATGAACAGAGGGCCTGCCATAACGTATCCAAAGGTAACGCCATGGGAGTTAGGTGCATACTGGTTCCAGAAAGAGCAAAAGGTCAGCACTGCCGACCTGATTCACCTACTTAAAGCACTTCTCAGGTGGTTCGGGTTTTTATTGTTCTCAGTCTATTAAAAAAATCATGGATATGACTTTTTTTAAAGATATTTTTTATTGACTTCAGAGAGGGAGAGAGATAGAAACATCAATAATAGAATCATTGATTCTCTCGTCGTTGATTTGCCTCCCGCACGCCCCTTACTGGGGATCTGAGCCAGCAACCCGGGCATTGCCCTTGACTGGAATCAAACCCGGGACCCTTCAGTCCGCAGGCCCAGGCTCTATCCACTTAGCCAAACCGGCCAGGGCTATGGATATGACTTTTATGCTAATTATAGGAGGAAACAGCCAGATTTTAATTTGGGAGTCTCGATTCTCTAATCTGTAAAGTGAAAAGAATATCGATTTACTACATAGAGTTAAGTGAACTCACTAGGCACATAATAAGTACTTATATTTGTTCCCCATAATTCTAAGTTTGCAAGTTCAGCACTCAGCGTGTTGAACTCTTTTGGGGACAATTTTTTAGTATCGTTATGGTGATCATATTTCATTTGATAAGGCATGTTACTAGAGGTATGTTATCAACTATAGATAAATTACTATGCTTTCCCTTTAGAAAAAGTTTTGTATTAACACAGTTAAAATTAAACACTAAACATAAAAAGAATATCCTTTATGAATAAATTAACTACCTAATTCAGTGATGGCGAACCTTTTGAGCTCGGCGTGTCAGCATTTTGAAAAACCCTAACTTAACTCTGGTGCCGTGTCACATATAGAAATTTTTTGATATTTGCAACCATAGTAAAACAAAGACTTATATTTTTGATATTTATTTTATATATTTAAATGCCATCTAACAAAGAAAAATCAACAAAAAAAAAATGAGTTCGCGTGTCACAGGTTCACCATCACTGACCTAGTTCCTAGAATCTTATACTAATCATCCATTGCCAGCGGTTTATTTCAATCCTTAATTACAGTCACAGTCCTTGGGCAGGTTGTTCCTTTGTAACAACTCCTATTCCCAGATGCGGAGACACTCATTATTTATTCAGCAAATAATCACCTACCTTCTGTGTTCAGGGCACTACTTTAGGGAGGTAGAATGGTAAACCACAGTCCTTGCTCTTAATACAGACCTTACATCCTAGAGGGGGTGACAAAGAAAAAAACAAGTAAATGAAAGAATAAGATAATTTCAGGTAGTGCTGAGTGTCATAAAGATACAGTAATATTGTATTGGGTGACGTGAGGGAAGAGAATTTTTTTATGTCTGGTGGTTAGAGAAGGTGTCCAAGGAGGTACATTATTTTAAAAATCCTCACCCCAGGATAGTTTTTCTATTGATCTTTTTAAGATAGAGAGAAAAACATCCATGTGAGAGACACACATTGACTGGTTGCCTCCCACATGCGCCCCGACCTGTCCAGGAATGACTGGACCTGGATCCAATTTGCAACCCGAAATCCGTTCCCTTGACCAGGAATCTAACTGCAACCCTTCGGTCTACGGGCTGACACTATAACCACCACTGAGCAAAACTGGCCAGGGCTCCAAGGAGGTACAATTGATAAACGCAATTTAAGGAAAAGCCAGTCATGCAAAGAGGTAGGAGCCAAGGGTTCTGGCAAAGGGAAAAGTATTGCAGAATTCAATAGTTTTGTGTTAACTGCTGTTTTGTTCAAAGCTGTTTCTACCTTGTGATTGTTTCCTTAAATTCCCCACTTTGTCTTTAAAGTAGGAGCTCCTATTGTACTTATTGTCTATAATTTCAGTAATATACTGCTTTATTAGCTAATTGATTCTTAAATCTCTTATTTCATCAAGTAAAATATAAACTCTTGCTAGGCAGGGCCAGGGTTTAATCCTTTTTTGTCACTTCTCCAAGTCCAACATGATATTTGATAAGAGTAGGTGCTTAGTACATATTTATTGATTAGTTTGTTTAAATCATAGGATATAAGTATGATGCTGTTGATGATGAATATTCACCCAGGAGATACTGTTTTGGAAGCTGGCTCTGGCTCTGGTGGAATGAGCTTATTTTTATCCAAAGCAGGTAAGAGAGTTGGATAAAAGGAGCTGAATTTAGATAACAAAGAAAACATTTAATCCGTTCATAATAACAGAAAGTTAGATAAAGATGTTTCAGAAAATATTCACATGACTTTGGGATATAAAGAATTCTCTTTAAAACCAAATGTAAGCAACTACATTTTTTTCCCATTTTGTACATTTTTCCAGTCACTCTCTTACCTTTTGCTTTGCTTTCTCTTGCTCCTCTCATGCTTTTTAATGCTTCTACTTAAAAAAAAAAAAAAAACTTAAGCTTTTTATTGGAGCATAACATAGCTACAGAAAAGTGCATGGATCATAAGTGTATATCTCAGTGAATTTTTTCTTTTTAATCCTCACCCGAGGGTATTTTTTCCATTGATTTTTAGAGAGAATGGAAGAGAGAGGAAAGACAGGATTGGTTGCCTCCTGTATGAGCCCTGATTAGGGCCCAGGCGGAGAGGAGCCTGCAACTAAGACACGTGCCCTTGACCAGAATCAAACTTGGGACCCTTTGGTCCACAGGCCAACGCTCTGTCTACTGAGCCAAACCGGCTAGGGCTCAGTGAATTTTTAAATAGTGGCCACCCACATGTAGTTATTACCCAGAGCAAGATAGGGAATGGTACTGCACCACAGAAGCCTCCCATGTTCCCTATCAGTCCTTATCTTCCCAAAAGATAACCACTATTCTGACTTTTATCATAATTGATTAGTGTTACCTGTTTTAAACCTCATATAAAAGGAATCACACAGTATGTACTCTTGAGTCTGGCTACTTTCATTCAACATTCTGTTTGTGAGATTCAGCCATTGCATATAGCATTAGTGCTTTCATTCTAGTTGCTATATAGTTACTCCATTTTATAAATAAATCACAATTTATCCATTTGACTCCTGGTGGGCATTTGAGATGAATATTATGAATAGTGCTGCTCTGAATATTCATGTACTTGTTAATAATAGTGCCAGATGAATTCTCAGTATGAGAGAATATAGAAGGAGGAGGGCTGTCAGTGCTGGGCTGACATACTGTTACAGGTAAAGGATTGTTAGTGTTCATAAATAAATCCTATATAATAAAAGCCTAATATGCTAAGTGTCTGGTCGTCCAGTTGGCCATTCAACCAATCAAAGCGTAATATGCTAATGATATGCTAAGGCCACTCAACCGCTCACTATGACATGTACTGACCACCAGGGGGCAGATGCTCAACGCAGGAGCTGCCCCTGGTGGTCAGTGCGCTCCCACGGGGGAAGTGCCGCTCAGCCAGAAGTCGGGCTCGTGGCTGGTGAGTGCAGCAGTGGTAGTGGGAGCCTCTCCTGCCTCTGCGGCAGCGCTAAGGATGTCCGACTGAGGGCTCCCGGACTGCGAGAGGGCACAAGCCGGGCTGAGAGACACTCCCCCCCACAAGTGCACAAATTTCGTGCACCGGGCCTCTAGTTAATCATAATACAGAACTAAGTTAAAGCTAGATCATGGAGAATTTTTCTGTCTTTAAGAAAGTCTATACATAGTCAGTTGCTAAAAGTACTGATTGAAGGGAGCACCTGATCAAAAATCAAGAAGTATATAGTAAACATAAATATCTGTTCATGTTTCCACCACTTGATGTCTGGTTACAGTTATCCTAGTTGATTATCCTATGATCACTTAACTCCTCTGAGTGTCAGGATTGATTTCCCTTCCTCACCTAATTATAGACTCCTGAACAGTGACAGAACTCTGGGTAGATTTTTAAAAAATCATTTATGTTGTTCCTTATTGATGCATTCTATTTTTTTTAATTCATTTTTTTAAACTAATAAACTGTTAGAGCAGTTGTAGGTTTATATGGGTCAGTTTTATAAAGATTACAGGTAGAAATATGCTGCATTAATCTTAAACCTTTTGTTCTTTGACCTAGTGCCATTACATACAAACAGAATCCAGCTTATACTAGATCAGGAAATTCATTCTGGCTCCTCATATCTTTTGTTTGAATCTAATTAAAGGCAGTAATTTCTTCACAATCTGTGACAGATTCCTGAATGCATTTGACAAAGTGAATTTATAAAAATTTGTGATACAGGAGTGCCTGTATTTCTAATGTCTATAGTATTGGCGGAGTGTCATGTCCTGAATAATCGCAAGTTATGAGTGATCAAAAAATTATCGCTACTTACCTTTGGAATGGATTTTCCCCGCTATACTTATATTTTCTAATTGTTTATCTTATGCTACTATTAGCATTAATTTTTATCACTTGAGAACATGATGACTTGCAGCTGGACTTACATTTCAAAAGACATCTTGGAATGTAAACTTTTCATTAATAAAACTACAGACTGATTGATCTGGGATAGCCTCCAAATGATAGCAAAGCACCTCAGATAGAGGTGGGTGGAAAACGAATTGCCTTATTAAAATGCGGTAGTTTTTTTGTGAAACAGCAGTATTACTGTGCTAAACAGTTAAAAGTTCTTTAGGCACACCCAAAAATACAAATATTTTTTAAATATATGGAAGGTCTAACCTCATCCATAACAAAAGAAATACAAATTAAAACAACAATGATAAACTATTCATTTTTAGATTGACATAGATAAGTTTGAGAGAGTATAGAGAAATAGGCACTCAAATACATTGTTGGTAGAGTATAAATTGGTATCACTTTTTTGGAGGACAATTTGGTAATAATTTTCAAACTAAAAAATTCACATACCCCTTGAGCCAGCATGTACATTTTTAGGAATTCTGTAGATATATTGGCTCATTCATACAAAAATTTGGGCATAATAAATTTCATTGCAATATTGTTTATAATAGTGTAAGACTAGACACAAACTAAATTTTTATTGGTGATTGCTAGATAAATTATGCCATAGCCATACAATGGAATATAAAAACTGTTAAAAATAATGCAGTAGATTGTTAATCACTGAAATGGCACAATAAGTATAAAGGAAGGTAGAGGATACAATGTGTGTTAAAAATAAAGAAGTACTTGCACACTTGTGTAGGCACTAACTATCTTGGGAAGGCTAAATAACTAGTATTATGGTTACCCCTGAAGAGAGAGGTTGATTGGGTATCTGGGATGGGATAGAGACTTTTGTAAACTTGAACTATTTGAATTATTTTTTTTCACATCCATATAACTTTTGTGTGTGTGTGTCGGGGAATCAACCCAGGACCCATATACCCTTTTACAATATAATTTTTATGTTCTTTTATGAACTAATTAATTCTATGAAATGTCATAAATTATCTGTTTAAGTTGGATCACAAGGACGGGTCATAAGTTTTGAAATACGAAAAGACCACCATGAACTGGCTAAGAAGAATTACAAACACTGGCGTGATTCATGGAAAATTAGTCATGTAGAAGAGTGGCCAGACAATGTGGATTTTATTCATAAAGATATTTCAGAAGCAAGTGAAGACTTAAAATCTTTAAAATTTGATGCGGTAAGTTTTCAAAAGTGGTTCCTAGGATATTGCTTAATACTGTGTGTGAAGAAAACCAGGATCACAGTTCTTTTGTATGTGAGAGGGTCTTCCTTCATTGTTTGCCCCATTTCTGTACCTGGTATGGAAAGAATACTTTTCCTTCAATATCATGGTGGGATTTAGAGTAGAGAGACTTACTGAATCATTGCCAAAGTTATTAATAAATACGGGGTAGTGAACAAGGAGGAGGAGTTGAGCATCATAAACCTCAGCATTTTTAGGTAAAGCAGTGTTGGGAGCATATTGAACACAGCACCTGACCTCATGTTGTGAGATTTTGGGGGAATAAATAGCTTCTATTTGAGAGGGAACAGGCAGGAGGTATCTTAGACAGTTAAAGTCGGGATGTAGAAGAGTATTCGTTAACAATGTTGAGGATTCATTCTGACTCCTGTGCTTCTCTCACATTTCACAGCCAATCCTATTTGGCTCTTACTTTTTCAAAATTTATACCACTTCTCATTACATCCAATGCTGTTTACTGTTGCGAGCCATCATTATCCTTCCTTACACTCTCCCAGTCTTTTTTTTTTTTTTTTTTTTTAACATTTTTATTGATTTCATAGAGGAAGGGAGAGGGAGAGAGATTTTTGAACCATCCATGATGAGAATCACTGATCGGCTGCCTCCTGCACGCCCCCTACTGGGAATCGAGCCCACAACCTGGGCTTGTGCCCTTGACCAGAATCGAACCTGGGACCCTTCAGTCCACAAGGCAATGCTCTATCCATTGAGCCAAACCAGCTAGAGCCTTTTCTATAGTTTTTAAAAGTATGTTATAATATACTTAATGACACTAAATTATACATTTAAAAATGGCAAGTTTTGTTATACTTAATATGGAAAAAAGGTTTATAAAAAGTCAGATTATATCATTCTTTGAAACTCTCCAGTGGCTTTTTCTCCTCCTAAGTAAGATTCTACATAATCTGTCCCTCTCCCAGTCCCACATCTCCACCATTCAGAACTCATCTCTTACCATCCTCTCCATTTTGTCTCCAGTGACAGTGGCCTTTTCAGACTCTCCAACTATCACAGCCTCAGAGCATTTGTATTTGCTGGCTCGCCGCCTGCAGCACACTTCCCCTTTAAGTTTCCACAGGATAAGCTTAATCATTTTCTTCAGGTTTCATCACTGACCAGCCTATGTATAAAACAGCACTTTCTTTCTCTGCCCTCATATTCTCTATCCCTCATATTCTGCTTTGTAATTATGTAGGTCGTCATGTCACTCATCACCCTCTGACATATATTTATTGGATATTTGTTTAATGTCTGTGCCTTTATCCATCTATATATATAAAGGCTAATATGCAAATTGTCCCCTTGGAAGTTCGATCACTCGCTATGACATGCGCTGACCACCAGGGGGTGGCGCGGAATGAAGGAAGGCCCCAATTGGCCCTGGTTGCCAGCCAGGCCTAGGGACCCTACCCGTGCACGAATTTCATGCACTGGGCCTCTAGTTAGAATACACTGAGTGGCCAGATTATTATGACCATCCCATCAGTACTTCATAGACACTTCCAAAAATACTGAATATTGAAAACTTCCTAAGCAAATCTCTCAAGGTTTCATTATTATTATTATTTGCATAATTAATTCACTTCATTGTACTGATGGGGTGGTCATAATAATCTGGCCACTCAGTATATAAGTTCCTATGAAAAAAATAGTATGTAAGCTCCTGTTATATCCTTACCACTTAGCAAAATGCTTGGCACATGAAAGGTGTCCAAATGGTGAATAAATTAATGATGCTCCTTGACTCATTAATATTTTTTAAACAAAAACTAAAAAACATCAATAGAATAACTTCTAATTATGTGCTATGCATTATGTAAGTATATTGATGTGCCAACTACTCTTAGCTGTCTGGTATTATCTTTCAATAATAGTCACTTTATTTTCTATTTTGACCATATTTATTTTGCATGCCCCTGACTGGGGATCCAGTCCACAACTTGGGCATGTGCCCTGATCAGGAATCAAACCAGCAATCCTTTGGTGCACTGATGCCGCCCAACCAACTGAGCCACATCAGCTAGGGCTCAAATATGTTTTTGTTTTGTTTTGAAATATATTTTTATTGACTTCAGAAAGGAGAGGGAAACATTAATGATGAGAATCATTGATCAGCTGTCTCCTGCATGCCCCTACTGGGGATTGAGCCCACAACCTGGGCATGTGCCCTGATCTGGAATTCAACTATACCTTCCTGGTTCATAGGTTGATGCTTAACAACTGAACCATGCTGGCCAGGCTCAAATATTTTTTTTATATTCAGAAGAAAAATTCTGAATATTAACTTTAGACATTCTAAACTGTAAGAATCGTGTTCTTTCTCTCTTGCATCAATGTTTCTCTCCCTCTCCCTTCCTTTCTAAAAATCAATAAAAAATCTTTTAAAAAAAGGAAAATATTTGAGATGTGAATTTCTATTGCCAAAAGCTCAACTAAAGCATTGAAACTTTGTATATACATATGTATGTATATAAAATATAACTAAGGAAGGATTCCTTTATTACCAGCATTGCCCAGTGCAAGACATGCCACCACCATTTTTTTTTATTGATTTCAGAGAGGGATAGAAACATCAGTGATGAGAATCATGGATCGTCTGCCTCCTGCACGCCCCCTACTGGGGATACAGCCTGCAACCTGGGCATGTGCCCTTGACCGGAATCGAACCTGGGACCCTTCAGTCCACAGGCCAACACTATATTCACTGAGCCAAGCCAGCTAGGGCATGCCATCACCATTTTTATGTAGTACTGTGACAAATTGTGTGATAATATATCTTTTGAGGAGCAGTAAAATAAGATAGTAGTACAATATTCAAAAAAATGCAGTACTTTAACTGGGTAATTGCTTTTCAAAAGTGTATCATTTTACCATGATAACCTATGCCGTAATTAAACAAAATTCAGTCTGATTCTCCTTTCCCCCCACAGGTAGCTTTGGATATGTTGAATCCTCAAGTTGCTTTGCCTGTTTTATACCCTAATCTTAAACAGGGTGGTACATGTGCTGTATATTTAGCAAAGTGAGTGATGTGGCTATTACTTGTGATTTTAAACACATGTTCATTTTGTAACTGAGTTAGGCATATACACTGAGTGACCAGATTATTATGACCACCTGACGTTTGTAGGCAAATTATCCATACACTGCACCGTACACTGCATGGGATATGGAAGCCGAAGGCCTGTTCGAACACCTTTGCTGTCTGCAGTTACCAAGATAAAACGTCTCAAATTCGCACAGGAACACAAGGATTGGACAGTCGAGCATTGGAAAAAAGTCATGTGGTCTGATGAATCACATTTCCAGTTGCATCATGCAGATGGCAGAGAATTTGGCGGAAACAGCATTAAAGCACGCACCCCATGTGCATAAGTACAACCCTTCAAGCTGGTGGGGGCAGTGTTATGGTTTGGGGCATGTTTTCCTGGCATGATTTGGGCCCTTTAATTCGTGTGGAACGACGTCTGAATAGCACAACATACCTAAGTATCATTGCTGATCAAGTTCATCCTATCATGTTGATGGCATATCCCAATGGAGATGGCTTCTTCCAACAAGACAAAGCATCATGCCATGGTGCTCGTATTGTGCAGGAGTGGTTTCAAGAACATGAGGGAGACTTTACCTTGCTTCGGGGGCCCCCACAATCACCAGGTATCAATCCAATTGAGTATTTGTGGGATGAAGTTAAAAGAGCCATCCGGCAGCTGGTTCCACAACCATCAAATCTCACAGAACTGGACAGTGCTATTCATCAGGCATGGTATCAGATTCCTCGCATCACCTTTCAACATCTCGTGTTGTCAATGCCAAGAAGAACTGCCGCAGTATTGAGGGCAAAATGTGGCCCAACGAAGTACTGATGGGGTGGTCATAATAATCTGGCCACTCAGTGTATGTCACCTTGTAAAACTTAGGAAACTACATATGTCCCAAATCATTTATATTGCTGCTTAAATCATCCTTCATATAATTGGCAATATAAGATGCATTTTCAGGCAATTTAGAATAAACGTTTAAAAAGGGTAATGTGAACAAATAATGTTAAATTATGTTCTCTATATTTTTTACTATTATTTAAAATTGCTTATTATGTGCCCTAGCTTGCATTTTTACTTTTAGGCATAGTAAATTTAAAGTAGTTGTACTAGAAACTTAAAGTACATTTTTTTACTTTTCTGAAAGCATCACACAGGTTATTGAACTTTTAGATGGAATTCGCATCTGTGAACTTGCTCTCTCATGTGAAAAGATAAGTGAAGTCATTGTCAGAGATTGGTTGGTTTGCCTTGCAAAACAGAAAAATGGAATTTTAGCTCAAAGAGTAGAACCTGAAATCAACGTGGATTTACAAGTACAATCTCAAAAGGTTAGAGCTGAAGGTGAGATGCTTCAGGATGGCCCTGGTGAGATGCTTCAGGAGGATAGCCATGGTGAGCTTTGGTTTTATCTTATGCATGTGTATGTAGTAAGTGGAGAATAGGTTCCTCAGTGTATTGACCAATAAATTATAAAAATGTGTCTGAAGGATTTTTTTTTGTATTTAAATGTGGTATTTATGCTGTTAAATTAAAATCTGTAAGGGACAGAATAATGACTTTGCTTGCCTTTTATAATATTCATATTTTACCTGTGACAAGGAGATTAACTTGAAATATTTTATATATATATATATATATATATATATATATATATATATATATACTAAAGAATTTTTAAAATTTAGATCAGTGATTATTACTGAAGGAAAAGAATTTCATAGGATCTGATATGCAAATAAACTGATATTTGCTATTTATGAGGCTGGAATTCTCCAAATTTAGGACTTTGTTGTATGTACAAATTATTTAGGCTATGAGCAAATGTTCATATATCCCTTGATTATGAATTTATCTGTTTAGTTATAAAACCATATATATAAGTTTATTATGTAATCCTTGATACATTATTTCTGTGAGGTAACTGGCATAATAGCTCCAAAACAAAATGCTAAAAAGATATGTGAAAGAAAAACTTACAGTAAAGGGACATTAATTTGTATTTTAACAGTTTTGAAATATTTGAACAAATTATGAAATATTTTATGTAATTTACAATATGTACTTTGTTCTACAACAGAAGAATCACGTTCTGATTTTCCATATGGATCATTTCCCTATGTTGCTAGACCTATACACTGGCAAACTGGTCATACAGGTGAGTAATGTTTTCAGGCCATATTAAATGGTATTTTCTTCTAATTATTATAATGACCTTTACTTTTTCCCCCACTTAAATTAGCTTTTCTTGTCAAGTTGAGGAAGTTCAAACCACAACTTAACTGAGTACCTCAGATGACGGCAACTGATTTGAAGACAGAAAAGTATCAAAACAGAACTTTATGTTGCAAATCATTACTTTTGTAGATTGGTATTTTTAGCTATTACTGTGATTTGTATAACTTTTACTTATAATTCTGAAAAATAACAAAAGCTAAAGAAAGATGTGTAGCATTTTAAAACTGCTTAAATGTCCACTTTGACATTTGTCTTGTAGTTAGTTTGACATATTGTAGTTAATGATTCCAAGTTGTTTCAGTTGAGCCATCTCATTCTTCACTTCCTGTAAACCACTCCATAGATTTGTCTTTCTTCATGAAATTAGTTTTCTTTTCTTTGTTTGATTGATGGTCATTGGCTACTGAAATAAAGTATGCATTTTAAGATAAATTTTATGTATCTGTATTTTAAATACATATTTTAATGGCTTGTATGTATCTTAAAAGGTACAAAGAAATCTGGGTTATCCTATATCCTATATAATAAAAGCCTAATACGCTAAGTGTCCGACCTTTCTATCAGTCACTATGATGCGCACTGACCACCAGGGGGCAGACGCTTCGACAGGTAGGTTAGCTTGCTGCTGGGGTCTGGCGGATTGGGACTGGGCCAGGCAGGCCGAACACACCTTGGAGCCCTCCCACGGTCCCTCCCCAGCCCCAATCGTGCACCAGTGGGGTCCCTCAGCCTGGCCTGCACCCTCTCGCAATCCAGGACCCCTCGGGGGATGTTGGAGAGCTGGTTTTGCCCCGATCCCCACAGGCCAGGCCAAGGGACCCCACCAGTGCATTCATCCGTGCACCAAGCCTCTGGTAGTAAATAATATGGAGAAACTGGTAAGAATGATATAATCACCTTAAAAATTGTAACAAAAGATGTAACAATTCTTGCATCACTTTTTTCTTTCCCAGAATCATTTTAACCAGCTTAGAAGAACATCACAATTATTCTGTTACTATATAAATCAAATGCTTGGAGAAATATACTTTATAAATATGAATTAAAACGAAAGTATTATTCACAGGCACCAGTTATTTAGCATTTACCATGTGCCTTACATTGTTTTAAGACCTTTATAGTTTTTTCATTTAGTATGTACAGCTCATCTTTAAGATTATCCATATTTTACAAACAGGTTTAGAGTGGTTAGATTGTTGTTTAAGCATAGATGTTTTATAGGTTTAAAGTAGTAATGCCTAGGAGAATAAATGCTATTCCTTGATTTATCCCTTAAGCTATAGCTATTTTAAATAATATATAAATTCTAAATAATGTTTTACATGGTTTTCATTATGTGGAAAATTTTAACCTAAAATCTCTGCCTTTATAGACTACAGTCTATGGAAGAGCCAGACATTAATCACATAAATATGAAACTAAAACTGTTTTATATGCTCCAAAGAAGTTCAGGGTGCTGTAATAAGGGTTTTGCTCTGGTTAAGTAATTACCTGTGAAGTGACAACTGAGCTGAGACCTGACTGGTAAGTAGGAATTGACTACAGAAGGGAAAATGGAAACAAAAAGGCCACTGATGTTGGGGTTGAGTGAAACGAAATGGAAAGATAGGTCAGGGTCAGGCCATACAGGATCTGGTAGCCCTGTGAAGGAGTTTGTTTATCCTAAGAAAAATGGGGTGCCATTTAAGGATTTAATGAAGGGTAACATGCTTAGATCTATGTTTTGGAAAAAAAAACCACTGGTTGCATTATCATAGAGTGTTCTGGTGCCATCTTTCTGTATGGTAAGTACTATCTGAACAATCAAACAATAATGGATTTATAGTTTTCATAACATTTCCAGATATATAGCAGCTCTGAAGTACATATTTAAATTCCATCATGGAATACTCCTTTTTGTTTAATTAGCAGCAAAATTCTGCCATTAGTTGTTTGGAATGCAGGCCTTAATTGTACTGATTGGAGAACGGGACTGGCCTAAGAGCAAAGAAAAGTTGTGCCTACTACTCCTATTTCACATAAAATAGTTTCTGCTCAGTACACTGTGCTCAGTAGATGCTGAATTGAACAAGATCTAACAGTGTCCATTCTAATTTTAAGTTGAGTTGAAAATCAAACTAATAAGCAAAAAAGATTTATATAATAAATCAAAGTTCAGCTTACGACCTTTCTCCATCTCTCCATCAAACACTAAGCATGTTTACGGTCTGGTTTATGGAAAACACCTTCTTCTATAAGTTATATTTCTGTTTATGTCTGGCTCTCACTTACCATAGTGTGAATTCTAGAGATTTGTGAATGACTCATAACTGTCTACCCAGTGTTTTCCAAGGGCCCCTTGCCTTTTCCACCCCGTATATATAGTCAATAAAAGTGCTAATGGTTTTAAGCCTAAACTGGATCATGTATTGTCTCATCTGTTGCCTTGTTTGTTCTAGGGAAAACTTTAGGTGTATAGCTCTTGGATTGTGGAAGACTTTAAGTTCAAACTTTATACTTCAGAGATAATAGGAAACTTCTGAAGGTTATATGGTCATATAAAAGATAATTTTTTAAAGTCAGTCTGTTAGTGGTATCTGAGTATTCAAAGGAAAGAAAAACTGTTAAATCAGAAATTTCATAGTAATACATAGTATACAACTATGAGGTAGTAATAAATAATAATGTGAGGAAAAGGGGCAGATGTAAAAAATATATAGTGAAGGAAGAACCAGACAAGCTGGTAATTTATTGGATGCAGTGGGAGAGAAGCAATATAGTTTCAAACTTTTATCCTCTATTCAGAATCCTTTTCCCTTCTCTGGGCAAAACTGGACTCAGTCAATGGCCAGTTCATATACTTCCTCTGAAAAGCCTTTACCAAGTCCCTCACACACAGAATTAATTCTGGAATCTTTTGTGCTCCTAAATGTTGGTCATGTAATTAGCATTGCCCTTATTATATAACTAATTTATAAGCCCTGATTATGCCTTTGTTAAGTGTAAGGGTTTTAAACCTGAATGACTAGAATAGGGGTGACAAAAATAAGTTCAGAGAAGGATTTTTGAGGAAAAATTATTTGATTTTATATTATATAACAGAATGTCCCAAGCCTGCGTACAAAACCAAACTAAGGTTCGGTATATTGTTTTTTTCCCTTGGCTTCACTCTAAAATCTGAAGAGTCTTTAGGTAATATGTACTAATACATATCCATGTTTCAGATGGACTACCCTAGGTGTCATAAAGCTTATTTAAGACAGCATAAGGCAAAGAGAAACAATGTACAGTTGACTCTCGAACAATGTGGGGTTTAGGGGTGCCAACCTCCCATGCGGTAGAAAATCCGTGTATAACTTGATTTCCCAAAAACCACAATTGGCCCTTTGTATCTGCAGGTTTCGAATCCTGATTCAACTGCAGGTTGAAAATAGTACTTTCTTTTCTTTTTTAAAAAAAAATATATTTTATTGATTTTTTACAGAGAGGAATAGAGTTAGAAACATCGATGAGAGCGAAACATCAATCAGCTGCCTCCTGCACACCCCCCACTGGGGATGTGCCCACAACCAAGGTACATGCCCTTGACCAGAATCGAACCTGGGACCTTTCAGTCCGCAGGCCGACGCTCTATCCACTGAGCCAAACCGGCTACGGCGAAAATAGTATTTTCAATCCAGGGTTAGGAATCAGTGGATACAGAAGAGAGACTGTACTAATTGTCTACAGTTGACTGGAAGCCTTACCAATAACCAATAGTCAGTTAACACATCTTGTATATTATTATCTATTACATACTATATTATTAAAGTAAGCCAGAGGTAAAAAATGTTAAGAAAATTGTAAGGATATTACATTTACTATATTTCTTGAAAGAAAAAGGCACATGTAAGTAGACCCATGCAGTTCAATCCTGCACTAAGGGTCAACTAGTTTATTTAATATGAAAATAGCCAGTTTGACTCAGTGGATAGAGCATCAGCCTGCGGACTGAAGGGTCCCGGATTTGATTCCAGTCAAGGGCACGTACTTTGGTTGCAGGCTGGTTCCTGGCCAGGGCCCTTACAGGAAGCAACCAATGGATGTGTTTCTCTCACATCGATGTTTCTGTCTTTCCCTCTCTCTTCCACTCTCCCTAAAAAAATCAATGGGAAAATATCTCTGGCAAGGATTAACAACAACAAAAAAAACAAAGTGCAGTACATTCAGATAGAACTGGATTCCCATATTGCTGTTTTTCTTGTTGCTGTTTTACCTTGCAACTGTGACTTTTTTAAAAATATATTTTTATTTCAGAGAGGAAGTGTGAGATAGAAACATCAATGATGAGAGAGAATCATTGATCAGCTGCTTCCTGCACACCCCACACTGGGGATCGAGTCCACACCCTGGACATGTGCCCTGACTAGGAATTGAACTGACCTCCTGGTTCATAGGTGGATGCTCAACCTACTGAGCCATGCTGGCATGGTGCAACTGTGACTTTTCTGAGTTTGTGTCTTCAGCAGTAAAATGAGTATCATAGTGCCACTCGAAGATTTTGGGGGAACAGGTCAGGTGTTAAAAGAGGCTACCTTTATAAAATGCCTAGCACATGATTAGTGATTGTGATGTACCTAAATTTGTAAAGAATGCCTCATCTATTCACCCCCCCCCCAGCCTTGTCAAAAGAAAAATATTATGTTCTTAATAAACGTCATAAACATGTTTATATAAAACTTGTTTTCTGTACATTTTGTTTTGAGGAAAGAATTTTAACATTTTACCTGAAAAAATGAGAAGTAAGTTGCTCTTGTGTTTGAAAGAGGGAAGCATTGGTAAGCACCTATTGCTAAGTTTTAGCATAAAAGCCTGGAGCAGAGCATCAGTTCTTTGTGTCTCTTCTGGAGAAAGCTGAATTGAACCACAAACTGTTAGGTGATTCCGGCCACCTTCATGTTGATAGAAGGAAGAAAATTTTGCTGGCAGAGGTCACTACAGGGAATCAGCAGCGCTAAGGCATCGAGAGACTGATCACTGCTCCTGATAACATTGTTACCCTTAAACCACCCCCCCCCCTTTCCCAAATACTCCCTTATTACGCCTTTTTAGGGAAAATGAATGTAAATGTTTAAGGATGATAAATAATTTTTCTTTGTACTGCCTACTCTCTGTCATCCTGAAACAAAAGGTCTTAAATTTTTCAAATCAATACTCTGAATAAGACAGTTGATGAGTAAATACTTGTTCCTTCCTGTATATGAATTGTCTATCCTAAACCAGGGCTTTATGGCTTTCATCAAGGGAGAGGGTGAGCCCTTGCTGGTTTGGCTTAGTGGATAGAGTGCCCATGGACTGAAGGGTCCTGGGTTCAATTCCAGTCAAGGGTACATACCTCAGTTGCAGGCTCAATCCCCAGCCCTAGTCGGGATGCATGTGAGAGACAACCAATTGATGTGTCTCTCTCACGTCTATGTTTTTATCTCCCTTTCTCCCCCTCCCTTCCATTCTCTCTAAAACTCAATGGAAAAATATCCTCAGGTGAGGATTTAAAAAAAGGGGGGGAAGGGGAATGGGTGAAAGCACAGTTCTATTTATTCTGTTTACAAATCCCCTAACTGCACTTTTTAAATATATATTTATTGATTTCAGAGAGGAAGGGAGAGGGAGAGAGAGGGAGAAACATCAACGAAGAGAGAGAATCATTGATTAGCTGCCTCCTGCACACACCACACTGGGGAATGAGTCTGTAACACAGGCATGTGCCCTTGACCGGAATTGAACCTAGGACCCTTCAGTCCGCAGGCCGACACTCTATCCACTGAGCCAAACTGGCTAGGGCCTAACCACACTTTTCATCCACAATCCCTCAAAGACCTGCTTTTTGTTTTTTTCAGAGCAAGGTGACAGGTAGAGCCCTATTCCCTGGCTGCATTCTGATTTCCTGTTGAGATATCAAAGCCTAAAATATAGTGAATGCTACTGTCCTTGAAACTACAGGAGCTAATTTGTATAAAATATAATGCTTCTGTAAATATCTGTTCAAATGCTGGTTGGTATTCTCTTCCAGTTCACTCCATATAAACTTTCATCAGGGACTTGGTTCTTAATGCTTTCACTACTTCCTTAGTCCATAGCAGTCTGCTGACAGACTTGTGTGGCACCTTATTTTTACCACAAAGGCAGGATTTCATCAAAAGGGGCAGTAAAGCATAATAGTTAGGAATTCAGGCGCTAGTCTAGAGTCATTCCTGGGTTCAAATGTCGCTCCACCATCTTAGGCAAATTGTTTAATCTCTCTAAACCTCAGTTTCTTTATCTGCAAAGTGGAGATAATAGTATTTACCTTAGGTTTGGCTGTGAATAATAAATAAGATTATGGTATAAAATGCTAAACACAAAATGTTGCCTGGAACATTTTAAACATCTAGTAAATCTTACCTATTATAAGGATCAAAGAGTGTAGGTAAAAGGAGTTAGGAAGTAGGGGAGGGATGCTAGAAGGAAATTCTTATTTTATTATTTCCTATAGTAGATCCTATTTACCTTCAAATATGAGTGAACCAATAAAAATTATGCTTGGAAGTGTTGTGAGGCAATAGACTACATATTCCATGAGTCAAATTTGTGTAGTGATTACTAAGACCAGGAAATGAAACAATGAGACATGACCCCTACCTTCTTAAGAGTCTAGTTTCTCTTTAAGTGAAGCTTCAGTGGCCACTGTTAATCTCATAAAGATGTGGTAAAAATAAATAGGTGAAATTCTGAAATAATGTGGGTCTCACATAAGAAATCTATCAGTCCTGTCTTCAGATGGGTGAAAATTTGGAAGAAAGGCTCTATAAGTAAGAAAGATTTCTGCTAGAATACTATTCTGATTGTTTCAAATTGAGAAATATCAGAGAAATACTATACCTTTATAAATTTAAATAAAAATTGTGTGATTGACTAAAAGTATTTCTAGTTTGTAAGATTTTCTAATATAAAACACCATTGTTCAAAGCTACTTAAATCCCAACAAAAATGAAATATGCAAATAAATATGGTACTTGTATCATGTCATGATTTAAAATCAGGTTTTCAGTGTATAGTGTTCCAAAGCTACAGTAATCAAAATGGTATTGGTATTGGCATAAAAACAGACACATAGATCAATGGAACAGCATAGAAAGCCCAGAAATAAACTCACACAACTATGGTCAAATAATTTACAACAAAGAAGCCAAGAATGTATGTGTAATTGGGAAAGGATAACGGTGTTGGAAACACTACAAAAGACTTAAACTAGACCACTACTTATACCATGCACAAAAATCTGCTAGCAAAAAGTCCAGGAAGCACAGAGTCTCAAATAAGATGAACCCAAAGAGGTACACACCAAGATGTCGTAATTAAAATGCCAAGGAGTAAAGACAAAGAGAATCTTAAAAGCAGCAAGAGAAAAGAGTTGGTTACCTACAAGGGAGCACTCATACGACTGTAAGCTGACTTCTCAACAGAAACTTTGCAGGTCAGAAGGGAGTGGCAAGAAATATTTAAGGTGATGAAAATCAAGGCCCTACAACCAAGATTATTCTACCCAGAAAAACTACCATTTTGAATTGCAGGTCAGATAAAGAGCTTTATAGACAAGAAAAAGTTAAAGGAGTTCATTGCTACCAAAACCAATATTACATGAAATGTTAAAGGGTCTTTTTTAAGAAGAAAAAAAGATCCAAGTATGGGCAATAAAATGGCAATAAATACATATCTATCAAAAATTGAATCTAAAAATCAAAATAAACAACAAGGAATCTAATGAACAAAATAAACTGATGAATAAAATAGAACCAGCCCAGCTGGTTTGGCTCAGTGGTTGAGCGTCAACCCATGAATCAAGAGGTTATCAGTTCGATTCCAGGTCAGGGCACATGCCCGGGTTGCATGCTTGATCCCCAATAGGGGTTGTGTAGGAGGCAGCCAATCAATGTGTTTTTTCTTTCATAGATGTTTCTATCTATTCTTCTCCCTTCCTCTCTCTCAAATCAATAAAAACATATTTTAAAAAATAAAAATAAAATAGAACCAAGGCATGGAAACATGGAACAGACTGATGAATCTCAGAGGGAAGGGAGGGTGGGTGAGAAGAGATTAACCAAAGAACTTATATGCATACATGCATTACCCATAGACACAGACAGTAAATACGGTGGTGAAGGCCTGGGGTGGGGTGGGATCCGGGTGGAGGGGGACAACAGAGGTAAAGAAAGGGGGGACATCTGTAATACTCTCAACAATAAAGGTTTTTTTTGTGTTTTTTTTTAAATAGAAATATATGATCCAACAATATCACTGAAGGAAATAAAAACACTATCTCAAAAAGACATCTGCACCCCCATGTTTATTGCCATATTATTTAACAATCTTAGTGTCCACTGACAGATGAATAGCTTTTAAAAATGTGGTATGTGTATACAATGGAATATTATTCATTCGGAAAAAAGGAAATCCTAACATTTTTGACAACATAGATGGACCTTGAGGGCATGATGCTAATAGAGAAAAATAAATAATGTATGATCTCACTTATATGTAGAATCTAAAATAAAATAAAAAATCAAACTCATAGATACATAGTACCTACTGGTGGTTTCAAAAGGCAGAAATTAGGGGGACAGGCAAAATGAATGAATGTGGACAAAAGGTACAAATTTCTAGTTATAAGTAAGTCCTGGGTATGTAATGTACAGCATGGTGAATACAGCTAACAGTACTGTATTGTATATTTGGAAGTTGCTAAGAGAATAGATCTTCAAAGTTCTCATCACAAGGAAAGAACTGTAACTATGTAGGTGATGAATGTTAACTTATTGTGGCAATCATTTTGCAATATATACATATCAAATTATATTGTACACCTAAAACTAATACAATGTTATGTATCAATTATATCTCAATTTTAAAAAGTGTACAGAAAATAAGAAGGGGTAAGACAAAGGACTTCTGTGTTTTTCAACCTTGTAGCATAGTGGTATTAAACTTTTAAAAGAAAAAAGTATGGAAGAAAACCAATAGTTAATCACTGATAAAACTAGATGATGAGATTACAAGTAAATTTATTTTCCTTTTAAAATTTGTTTTGAATAAACATTTCAAGTGCTCTTAAAATATTTGAGACCCAGGGTGATAAGGTTTCACTTTACCATAAATCACATTAAAAATCTTTTAGTTTAGGTAAGCTACCAACAAAAACAGTAACACAGACAAAAAGTAAATGAAAAGCGGACAAGTTTCAATACTAATTTAACTCATATTGTTGTAAATATGTTATGTATCCCTGTCTGTAGGTCAACAACTTGAATTAATAACTTGCATAAATCTAATTCTGACATATCACTAAATCATACCTTGAGGATAGCTATAAGCTTGAGAAGGATCAACTATCTTGCTCATTGAGTTGTGTGATTCCTGAGAATGTTTTTCCATCACCTCTACTGTATCACTGGATAAAGATGATGATGAAGACAATCCCAGTCTAACATATCTTCCTTTTTTACCACAGAGTGAACAATCTACCGGTGTGGCACTAGGTCCCCGGGGAAGTTGAACTTCATCTCTGTTGTAGTTTCTAACAGCTCCACTGTGATGCACAGAGCGTTCTCGTTGCCATATATAATGGGTTGGAGCAATGGCCATAACCTATAGTGGAAAGCTTTCTTTTAGAACTTTACTAAGTTTTTTAGATTTAGTAAAACTAAGCACAAAAAATATAACTTAAGAACAGCTATCTCTAGCCCAGCTGGCGTGGCTCAGTGGTTGAGCGTCAACCTATGAACCAGGAGGTCATGGTTCAATTCCCAGTCAGGGCACATGCCCAGGTTATGGGCTTGATTCCCAGTGTTGATCCTCTCTCATCTTGATGTTTTCATCCCTCTCTCCCTCTCACTTCCTCTCTGGAAAAAAGGGAAGGGGAAGGGGAAAAAAGAACAGCTATTTTTAAAACTAGATTTAAAAATCTAAGTTACCAATCTTGAAAAAAAAAAAAAAGCATCTCCAGATACGACAGTATTTACCTATAAAGTGATTCATTGCTTGAACTCATGACAATAATTTAAATTATTTCAAATAGGAAACAGGACTGAAGCAACCTTCTAGGTTTTTCAATTCTGAGTATTTTAAGTTTGTGAAAAACAATACAGTTATCCCAAAACAATTATTAGCTTTGGAATATACTGGGCTGAGAAGAACATGTTTAATTGAGGTTTCCAACTATGTATGTTAGGCTAATCTTAAAATGTTTGCAATTATGGCAAGGGATATGGTAAGAACAAAGGTAAGTTACTTAACCTTTCTGTTCCTCAGTTTCCTCATCTGTAACATGAAGAGAATGTGTCTATTATAGAGGGTTGTGAGGATTACATGATTATTTATGAAGCAATTAAGATTCCTCACTACATTATCAGTCACTGTTGTCTAAGGTTTGTTAGATAAAACACTGCCTTTAGAGTCAGTTTTAGTTTCTTATCCTGGTTCTGCCACTTGCTAGCTGTATGATACTGGTCAAGTTACTTAACCTTTCTGAGGTTCAATTTGTTTATATCTCAAATGGGGATAGTATTCTACCTCAGGGTTGTTCTGATGGTTAGATGTATGTAAAATCTGTATCACATTATAAGCAACTGGAAAATGGTAGCTACTAGTATTTAAGAAGTCAAACTAGGGAAGTGTACCTATATGCTGACCTCATATGGAATTCTATGTTTAGCTTTTTGAGGAACACCCAGACTGTTTAACAAAGCAACACTGTTTTACATTCCCAAAAGAAATGTATGAAGGTTTGAATTTCTAAGTTATCTCTGAATCCTTGAATTTTCCCCAACATTCAACAATCCTCCTATTTTAATCTACAAATATGCATACTTGCTAAATCTTTATCTCATTAATAAATATAACTAACATGGTTAGTTCTGGGCAGAGTTTTATGATATGCCCCTAAAGTTCTCCTTAGGTTTGACACTAATCCATTGTCTCTTTTGGCCTATAGTCCATTTAACTGGATATAACTTCATTTAATTATAGCATTATCTAGCTCACATTTATCAAAGTTTTCTTTTTTTAAAAAATATATTTTTATTGATTTTTTAGAGAGGAAGGGAGAGGGAAAGATAGAAACATCAATGATGAGAGAGAATCATTGATTGGCTGCCTCCTGCACGCCCCCTACTGGGGATCGAGCCCGCAACCTAGGCATGTGCCCTTGGCCAGAATCGAACCTGGGACCCTTCAGTCCGCAGGCCAACGCTCTTACCTACTGAGCCAAACCAGCCAGGGCTAGCAAGGTTTTCTTAATTAATATTGGCTTACAGTGATCACTGATTTAATTTAATTTCCTTCTTTAGAATTTTTCTTTAGTTTAAACCTTAATTTTCTTCTTTATTGAAAACCAGAACATTAAATAAAATAACCAATCTTTTAACTTTTAGTGTCTTTCTGCTTTATCTTAATAAAATCTGGCATCAAGGAAACTTTATGTATTCTATGTGAAAAAAAGTTATGGTTTTTAAACATATTTAAATTTATATAAATTTTATATCATGCAATTCACATTTAAATCTTTGGACTTGGAATTTCATATATTTTATTTAATGAAATTATTATTCAACTCCAATGATATTACCATAAGATATTTTGAAATATGCACACTTATCCTTTTCCAATATATTGGTGATCTTTTAGATAAGAGAAACAAACTAAAATAAAAATCCTACAGAAACAGACTGCTCTGAGAAACAGAAATCACAATTTTAAATTCTTATGGTATAAAATTAAAACATCAACAATGCAATACACAAGTTGTATTCATGGTAACCAAGGTTAATGATCTACCCTTATATATACAAAAAGATAAAATGTTAGAAGCACATTAAAAAACAAGGAAAATTATATGAACAAAAGACAGAGATTACACATATAAAGTATTTTAAAATCTTACCTCTTCACAGCATCGCCTGCTTACAATAGCCCTATAGTCAATTCTATCCCAGAGTTGGTCTCTTAATTTTAAGAAATTAGGGAACAATTTTCTCCAGTTTTTCCCTAAAGCCCATGGAAAAATTTCATATTTGGATTCTTCTTCATCTTCCTCAACTGTATTAGCCAGATACCTAACAAAGAAGACCAATGACTCAAAGAAAGAAGTATGTAAAGAACAGGAATGGGCAGTTCACAAAAAAATACAAAGCACTATAAACACATAAAAGATGTTCAATCTTACTATAATTAAAAAAATGAAAATAGAGATACAGTGAATTTTACCTTAATGAGTTCTGAATATTTGTGAACTCTCTTTTGTGTGCGTATTTGTGTATTCCTATAAATCTTGAGCTTTGTTCTGGGATGCAGTTACTTGGAAACATTCTGATCCTTTTAGGTTATGCTTTTGGTAGATCTGGAGCAATGTTCAGTCTGGGGCTAATTATTCTCTACTAGTGATGCAACACCTTCCTGAATAATCTACACAATATCCTGTCAATTATGAGTTTTCTCAGTCTGGCTAGTGGGAACAGACACTATTTCCAGTCCTGGATAAATTTTAGGCGTTGTTCCCCTCTAATTCTTTCTGATGGCCTTTTGTGGCAATCAAGTAGTTTCTTATGCACAAATGAAAATCAATATCCTGTCAAATGCCTGAGAGGGATCAGGCATACAAAGAAGCAGAACACAATCCAATCAATCAATCAAAACTGACATACTAGTACATGGTAAAAGTAACAGATAAGAACATTAAAACAGTTATAACTATTCCAGATGTTAAAAAAGTTAAGACACCCTTTTAGAGATGAAAACTATGTGTAAATGAAAAATACACTGGGTGGAATTAATAGCAGATTAAATATTGCAGCAGAAAAAACTTGTGCATTGAAGACATAACGGCATAAACTGCGTAACTGCATAAACTATCCAAAATTAAACATGTAGAAAATAAACAAAAATAATAAACAGAACATCAATGAGCCACGAGATTTCGAGCAGCCTAATAAAAGTGAAATTGGAGTCCCTAAAAGGTGGCAGGTGAACAGAAAAAAATATTTGAAGAAATAAATGGCTAAAAATTTTAAAAACTTGAGGAAAATTATAAACCCACAAAGAAGCTTCTTGAAGCCCCAAAGCACCAAGGCACATCATAATCAAATTGCTCAAAACCAATGATAAAGAGAAACTCTTAAAAGCAGTCGCGGGAAAATGTAAGTTGAGTAACACAGGAAGAGAGATAAGAATGGAGCAGATTTCCCATTGGAAACAATGCAAGCCCCATAGACGTCTTTCCAAGAAAAATGGGTAACTTACAATAAGAAAATTACAAAGCACTTAAGGTACCATGAGCAGAAACAGACTCTGAAGTCTGAAGATACTAGAATTAATAGATACACATCAGAAAGAAAAAAAAAAAAGAGAGAGAGAGACCTCAAAAGCAGTTAGAAAGAAGGCAAATGATCCTAGGTGAGAGGTTTGAGATGCAAGGACTAGGAAGCAAAGGTATAAATATGAGGGTAAATATAAACAAATGTCGAATGTATAAAACAATAATACTTTTTGGACATCAGACAAAACTACAGAATTGTAAAAAAAGAGTTAAATGGATAATTGTTGGATAATTGGAGTTAAAATACTCAAGGTTGTGTGATTAAAAATAACTTGTGTAGTTGCTAAAAGAATAGATATAAATTGCATAGTTCCTAAACAAGTAGAAGTAAAAAAGGTGTCAAAAATAATTTAAAAATCTCAAATCAAAAAAGATAAAAATGGAGGGGACAGAAGAAACAGAATAAATGGAGCATATAGAAAGTACACAAGATGGTAGAAAAAATCCAAATATATAAGCAACAATAGAATATTATTATTCTGCAGTGAGGACGAACTATATAGCTACATATACCATGTGCTACTTAAAAGATCACTTTTAAAATAAAGTTTTTATTTATTTTAGAGGGAGAGAGAGAGTAGGTTTCTAGATGAGAGGGAAACATTGATCAGCTGCCTCCTGCACACCCCCTACTGGGGATCAAGCCGGAAACTGGGAATCCAACCAGTGATCTCTCACTGCATGGAAAGATGCTCAATCTACTGAGACATACTGGCCAGGCCCATGTGCTATTTTTGTACATGTTTCACATTAAAAAATTTTTTAAAGGTACAGAAGTGTAGCATATACTTCATGTAATATATACATTGCTTCACATATAGAAAATTATTTCTAGACAGATACACATGAAACAGTTGTCCTTGAGGAAGGAGACCAAGGTCTTGAGATAGAAGATTTACTTTTAATTGTATACCCTCTTATGTACCTTTTAAAAAATATATACTTTTATTTATTTCAGAAAGGAAGGGAGAGGGAACGACAGAAAAATCAATGGTGAGAGAGAATCATTGATCAGCTGCTTCCCACACGCCCTACACTTGGGATCAAGCCAGCAACCCAGGCATGTGCTCGACTGGGAACTGAACTGTAACCTCCTAGTTCATAGGTCGATGCTCAACCACTTAGCCACACTGGCCGGGACCCCTTATGTATTTTTAAAACCATGTGCATATTCATATTCATATTTAGTTACATTAATATAAAATGAGTACCTACATATTATTTATCCTTCCTTAAATAATTGTACATATTTTATTATTACCTTGTTAAAACCATTCAGTTATGTGAATCAAATCCTGTCCTCTGTAAAATTATGTAATTTCTTACTTTTAGTATCCCTGAGAGTTCTTAGTAAAGGGTAGACAGAGTGGGAGATCGGTTCCTTTCATGCTTGCTAAGTGAAACATGAAAAATCTATAATGTACCATGATATCAGACATCATGATTCTACTCTAGATTAACAATTTTTCAGTCTCAACGTGATGAAATATCTGAATTGTATACATGTAAGTCCCCTTGTAATTTGAAATAGTTAATATTTTCTTGGAGCAGAGTCCATTTTTTGCATAATAATTAATTGTGTTTATTCAAATAAAGAATTAAGAACCTTTTATATGTTAGCCACTAAAGGATGCAAGAAAAGGTTAAGTACATGCTCCTTGCCTTTATGCCTACAGTCAAGTAGAAGAGGCAACTGAGTATGAAAAAGGAACTGTAAAAGAGATTGGAAGAATGATAATTGAAGTTCAATGTTATAAGAATATATAGAAAGGAAAAGAACTTGAGTTAGAACAATGGCTAAGTGAGAAACTATGGAGAATTATTGAGTCAGGCTGTACAAAAGTATGATTATATATAAAATGAAAATTATAATTCATGTTATTTTTAATATACAACATGCAATGCAACCTCACAGACTACTACATAGTATAAGTTGACACATCACTTTACTGTTAATAACTTTACCAAAAAAGTCAAATAAATCCAATTTTAGGCAGCTAGTATGATTTAAACTAAAGCTTCTTTTGGTTTGTTGCTAATCTTCAGATGAGAAAAAAACTAAAAAACAGATATTGCATCAACATACAAATATAATACAATACTAAACATTGTAAATACAATGTAAACAGCATTATAGCTAGTGGTCAATGGCTGAATTTGGCCATTGGCAAGTCACAGATGAATTTGTGCCCCAGCTCTGCCACTTACTAACTTGTGGTCTTGAAAAGTACTTAATCTAAGCCTTAATTTCTCTATCTGTAAAATGGGGATAATTAAAAAGTGTATATCATCGGAAGATTAAGTGAACTTATAAAAAATATTTTGTGGTGCATTGCACTTAATACTCAGTATTAGCTAATACTATTATATTCCCCCAACTTAGCAATCATCACCAAATTTCATATTGAATTAATTTTTCCCATGTATGGGAAAATGTGTCTCCTGAATGCATGCAGAAATAAATTTCTTTGATTCTGAATTAAGCAGACTTATCCTATAATGCTAACAGTTGTTTTGGTATTCAACTTAAATATTTTAATTTGTACTTCCCTAGTTAAGTACTTAAAATTATATTCATACATCTCCAACTGCAGCACTATACCAGGTACTAGGTATAAAAGGTTTGAGATAGAGATACATATTCTTATAAGTACCGTGCGCTAACCGATTGCGCTACTGGAGAGATACATATTCTTAATTTACATAGATTCTAGCAGAATTTTGACCCATGGATTAGAAAGCCATGTCATTAAAACCATTTACTAGATCACAAAGCTAGTATAAACTGACTACTATAAAGTCAGTGGAAGAAATTGGAAACAATATGCCTTGGTTAAAGTACAGTGTGTTAAGTATTGAGTGGATACTATAGGTATCAGATATGACTAACACTTAGGTTATAGACAGAAATCCACGAGTATGTCTAGAGCATTTTCTGCAAGCTGTTCAATGTAAAAGAGCAATGATGATAATGATTTTTACTATATATTAACTGGAAATATATATATATGTATATATATGTACACACACACACACACACACATATATATTTATTCTGGCTTTAAAAAACCTAAGTACAAAAGAGGATAATTTGGGACAATTTATATGAAACACTGGAAAATGTACAAGTACAAATTCAAGTGGAATAATAAATCTTAGGCATAAAGCAGGATAAGATCAGTGAAAAGAACATATCCTATTAAAGTAAAAAATGTGTAGCTTTTATACCAGAAGGCTTATTCAAAGATATACATCAGGTTTTAAACAGCCTTTGTTTGAAATAAAGTATCATATATATTATAAATAACTACCACAAAAATCACAGTAGAAAGCATACTTACAGAGCAATAAAGAAATTTATCCTGGTATGCTCATTTATAGTAAATTTAGCCCTCTTGAAATAAACAAAGGTCATAGCCAAAAGATACTATAGGAAAAAAAGTTAAAAGTTAATATGAATGTTGTGTTTTCATAAGTAAAACTGCTTTAAAACAGTTACCTTTAAGATGACTAACATGCTAAAACAATAAAGCATTATTTATCCTTATTACAGAATTACCTATTCAGGTCCTTATTTTTTGGCTCCTGTAATCCATGTAAACAGTGAGAAGTTAATTCTCAATCATTTATCATGATTAAGATTATAACTAGAATGACTTTCTAAATTTTATTGTCAATATTTTTGAACCAAAAACACAATATTTTTCTATCTTAAATATCAAACCTATAGAGAGGTGAAAATAATCATAAAATGAATAAACATATCTTCTTCACCTAGATTCACCATTTGTATGTTGCCACATTGGTTTGACATGTTATATACACATTTTCCCCCCTGAATTCTTTTAGTTTTGGTCACCCATATTCACTTTCTAATAGAATCTTTTAAAAATAACTCAATCAAAAATTAGAATAACATGGATTTATTTTCATTGAAAAAGTTTTGTATTTATTAAAAAGATATATGTCTAGCCTGGTATTAAGACACTATGCCAGGCTCTGGCTGTTTCATTTAAAAACAAGTTGTAATATTGATGTATTAGATTTCCTTCTCATAAAATGCTTATTTATCCTACCTTCGCAGAATTGGCCATAAAGGAGATTTCAAGTTTTCAATGTGATAGTGTTAAAACAGAGTGCTCCTGGTTAGTTACTTTGAAAGCACTGCCCCCTGCTGTCCAACAACTTTAATTATTATAATGCACTTAATATAATCAAGTGTAAAAGTATGCCACATGAACTGGATATTTGATATTAAGGCAGTACCGTCAACATTTAAAAGTGTTAGCGACATTGTAATTATGTTTAAAAATATGTAATTTTTTAGAGATACATCTTAAAATATTTATGGATAAAATAGTAGGATGTCTGCTTTTGGGGAGAGGGATTAGAAAAAATAAGAATGGCCCACAGTTGGTGGGTTAGGCTCCTGGCGGGTCTTTGTTTTAATATCTACCCTAAGTTGTGTATGGTTGAAATTTTCCAAAATTAAAAAACAAAACTTCTCTAATTTTATCTGTTATTTTAAACCTGAAATTTTAAAAAGTTCACACCAATAGCACATTAAGAGTGATGTGAAGTCATGCTGAATTTTCTATGATTACATAGTGTAAGATGGCATTCACGAAGCTGAAATCATTAACTGTTCAGCTAAATTGAAAAAGTATATAACAGCATGGTCCGGTCCAATTTTTTTTTTTTTAATGAAACACTGATACTTAAATAAAGAAAATGATGAGCTAATTTTACTCTGTAAGATTATTGGCATTTGTTTTATCTAAATTACCTACAAAATATTAAAATGTATAACAGACTGCCTTAGTGGAATAAATCTCAGAATATTCTTTCTCTACAGCCTGAAAAAAAGGTAATAATTCTGATCTAAACATATTAAATCTATACTGATTCTTGTTTTCAATCAAACAGATATAAGTCTAAGGTCTTTTAAATCTAATCACTAATACTATACAATTCCCCAAAATACAGAATGAATTTATAGTTTATTCTAATTTTAAAGTTAATATGCAAGGATTCCACTTTCAAGGAGCAATGCAGGCTAGTTCTTTTCCTAAACTTAATGAATAAGAAGAAAATTCTTATAAGGTTTCATGAAAGTTCTGATGGTTTAGTAATATAATAACATTGGTTAATGATTATATTATTACTAAATTTACCTTGTCTGCAATTTTACAGCAGCAGTCCATCCACAAGAAATCTTGAATTAAATCATCATCTACAACAAAAGATAGCTATGACTTGTCTTTTAAAGAGAGAATGTTTCCTTTTGAAGATTTCCTACATAGGGAAATTATAAATGATGCTCTAAATTGCCTTAATATATAGCGTAGACTGGAGTGGGAATGGTAGAACTTTTTGATTTATTGAATATCCCAATAGCTCTTTGAGAAATAGGTATTGGGTAACTCTCGATTAGCTTTTTGTTACTTTCCAAAGTCAATCTTTAACAGGTGGAAACGGAATCTGATACAGAACTCAGTCTTTAAAAAATGACTTGCCCCACTAATGTGGCTCAGTTGGTTGAGCATCCTCCCATGCACCAATAGGTCTCCGGTTTGATTCCCTGTCAGGGCACAGGCCCAGATTTCTGGCTCAATCCCCAGTAGGGGATGTGCAGAAGGCAGGTGATCAATGTTTTGCTTTCGTATCAATGTTTTTCTCTCTCTCCCTTCCTAAAAATCAATAAAAGAATCTTAAAAAAAAAACACAAACAACACTGTCTCATGATCTGAACAAATTCAATAGCTCAGTTATAGCACTGAAGAAAATCTTGAAGCAGGGTTGTTGGCTTGGCTGAGATTTTATGTAGTATTTTACTTTAGGTCAAAGAAAACTCATGCTATGAACTTGAAATGCCCAATATTTATATTTGACACTTGTATTTAAGTAGTCTAGAAATGAGATGAGTTAGAATTTCTAATCCAAAAGAATCAAAATCCAACATTTAAAAAAAGACTAATTAAAATAGGCTTGGTTGGAAATGAGAAATCTGACAGAAAATAAGAGCATCCTCTGATTATTATGAAAATGATAAAATAGATCTTTACATTCTCTCACTTTTAAGTACTCTCTAATTATAATATTTTAAACCTACCAAATAATTTAAAGAAAGCAGTCATTTCCTGACGCTGTATAACTAGACAGGGTCCTTTGGGGCGTTTAGACTTGTTGCTATTCTGCACATTTTTTTCAGATGTTGGCCAACTATCTTTAAAAATAGGACGCTTCAGGTTAATAGGTTTTTTAGGCTGATGTGATCTACTTGACCCAGATTTTACATGAACAGTAACAGAAGGTGGTGTCTCACAACACAGCTGATTATGCCTCATTTTGCTTTCCCAAGAGTCCTGTAAAAATAAAACATATAATTATTTATCACACTCTTACTCATTTCTATATGAAAACAATTAACTGGATGATACCACCAGATGCAGTGATGTGAGGCATTATTGAACTTGCTACTAAATTGTTGTGACAGCGACTCATATGAGAAAGTGCTTTTAGAATTCAGTGCTAAGAAATGCTACACTTCCTTTGGTTAATTGATATACCTCCTCTTCCCAAGAAATAAGATCCTGTATACTATTTTGCTTTGACTACAAGGGAACTCAAAACCAATTTTGAAAGTTAATTAAAGAAACTATACTAACTTTATAATCTATTTGTGATACTCTTTTTTCCTGATAACATTTTGCTTGCATTGACATAATTTTATCATGATTATATGACACCTCGAATTTTTTATAGAACAAGGCAAACAATTCCTAGAAATTAATTATAATCAATATTAAGTATTATATTAAAAAGTAGTCCACACACAAAAAAACATTTTCTTACTAGTAAATTTCTTAATATGTTACAAAATTTACTTACTCAAGAGCATTTATTGGTATTTATTAAAGTTAAATATAATTCTAGCAGAGATGCATGGTATATGTATTTTGAGGAATTCTCATAAACTGGTCATTTTTTTATACTTGAGTGTAATATATGAGCATGCTATTTGAGTAGCTGATTATAAGTGTAAATGAACATATAGTGCTATAATCTAATACAATTTGAAACAATGTTCATCCATCCATATTTAACAGTATGTATAATCTCTATCATGTTTGGTGGTAATGTTACTACAGTTAGTATTACTTTTGTGGTCAAAAAATTTGTAGGGTATAAAAGGAGGTATAAATAGGCAAAGTAGGAAACTACTCCAAGACCCTAATTAAAAGCTCTGAATCCTTACTCAAAGGGACCCAAGCAGCCATGCCTTCTTGGGTGTTCCAGGAGTTAGGCACAGCTTCTCCTACCTGACCCTCAGAAACTTCCCTGCTAAAGGAAGGAATGGAAAATAAGATTGGACTTAGTGGGCTAGAGCAATGCTGTCCAATATAATGTGAGCCACATGTGTAATTTATATACACACATATTTGTATGTATATATATAAATTTAACTTTATTTTTATTGTGTAATTTTATATTTTAATGTCACATTTAAAAAGTGCAAATAAACAAGTTAATTTAATAACATATTTTATGTAACCTAGTATATAAAAAATACATTTTTAACATGTAATCAATATTTTACTTTTTCATACTAAATTTGAAATCTGGTATATATTTACACTTACAGTATATCTCGATTTGGATGTTAAATTTCCAACAGTTAAAGTGAAATGTAGTCCTACCAATACAATCAAGTAATCTGCAAGGAAAAACATATTTCACACTCATTCAGTACTTAATTTAAAATGAAATAAAAGGAAAATTCAATTCTTCAGTTGCATTCATCACATTTCAAGTTGCTCTATAGCCACATGTGGCTAGTGGCTACCATATTAGACAGTATAGGGTTAGATTATGAAGAACTAGTCAGAGGAAATTATATTAAATTGATTCTATAATTGTTTCTCTTTCCTTTTCCTTTGGGGGTCGAATGACCCTTTCACAGGGGTCGCCTAAGACCATCGGAAAACACATATATAATTACATATTGTTTTTGTGATTAATCACAGGCGTTAATTATGTTCAATTTATAACAATGAAAATACATCCTGCATATCAGATATTTACATTACGATTCACAATAGTAGCAAAATTACAGTTATGAAGTAGCAACGAAAATAATTTTATGGTTGGGGGTCACCACAACATGAGGAACTGTATTAAAGGGTCGCGGCATTAGGAAGGTTGAGAAACACTGCTCATCTTTCTTCCTAGGTCCAACCAAACTGAAGATGAAATGGGTGATAAATTAAGCCATGAGACTTGTGTAAGATCTTTCTTCTCCTTTCTACCCACCTCATCTGGGAGACAGTTGGGGCCTCATCTGTACCCCCTCCCCCTTACAATCTAGATAAAAAAAAAAACTGAATAGGCTTCTCAAACTGGAGTATAGAGGCTAGGCTCAGGTGTGGAATGTACCAGAATATAGAATAACGGTGGTATATCTCCCAGGAGGTAAGATTTATTCAATGTTAAGTAAGTTATATTAGTTTTGTTATATTAAAACAACCATGGATATATCATGCAATAAAAAGCAATTTTCTTTCATAAAAAAGATAAATATCAGGCTCACAGCTTTACACTAAGCCACTAAATCCTGATGTATGTGTTAGGATACTTCCTATAAAATTTGAGAAAATAGACAAAGAAATGGCTGAAATTCCCCAAAGAGATATTGAGATTAATACACAAATATTGGCAGTAAAGTTATGAAGAAAGCGCTTAAGGACAGAAGCTATCAGTGCTATATTCTTGGTCAAATTCCACCTTGAGGTAGTTGTAATTTTGTTCTTCATTTAGATATACCAAAAGAATGAGGTCCTAATAAGCATGCAAGAGGAAAAGAATAAAAGACAAAAATATGGGCCATTCCTGGAAAGGACAAGAGATAGGGAAGGAGAAACTATGCTCATAAGGCAAAATCCTTTAACAAGTTTTTACATGGATTCCACCAACATGAAGAAAATCACACCAGAATTCGTACTTGAACAGAATATCTGAGATATTTTTTGGTGAAGGGGGTATCCAGACAACAGCTAATTTATAGGCATCTAAATAATTTCTTCTCTCTGCAGGTAATATACAGAGGGGTCAAACAACAGAAGCAGTAGTTTGGAGGTCCATGGGCCTCTAGGAAAATACCCACTGGCGATTGGACAGGCAGGTCAGCCTAACTGCAGCCTTAGCTGAGCACTTCACATGTGCCAGGCACTGTGCCAAAGGTTTTGCATGCATTATCTCATTTAATTCTCAGAACATCTCTATAAAGTGAGTGTTGTTTTATCCTTATTTTCTAGATTAGAAGTTTGAGGCTTAGAGAAGTTAAGGAATTTGCCCATGGTCATATAATGAGTGACAAAGCTCGGACTTGAATCCAACACTGTCTGACACAAAGACCCGTATTCTTTAACCACTACAGAATTGTTCTAAAGATTAAATGAAATCATGTGCAAACACTTGAAACATAATAAGCAGTCCAATATTGCGTACTGTCACCTTGCCAGGAAAACATAAACCCGGCTACAAGACTACACTTTGTAAAATTTAATTCTAGCATTTGCCATGTGAGTGAATTATGACTTAGTGGTTAAGTAAGCCATTGCTGTAGGGAAGAAAGATGGGCTTATCATATTTTTCTCTAAAATAAAGTAACTCTTAAAAAGTAATCTTTATCAGTTGGTGAGCGCACCCTCCCGGCCGGCCGGGGTTGGGGTCCAACCCCCAGGCAGCGCACATGCAAGCAGCGGCCAAGGAACGCATCCATCAGTGGAATAAACCCGTTTCCCTCTTCCCCTCTCCCCCTTTCTCTCTCTCTCTAAAGATCAAAAAATTTAAAAATTTTCATTGAAATTGCTATAGCATTCTTCTCTAGTATAACCACAGAATCTAATTACTGAGACACAGAGCGAATTTAGAAAATCTCCACAATTTTCACGTTTAAACTTTTTTTTTTCAAAATTAATTTACCATCTAACGGTGACAGAACACTTTTGGCCCAGATGCTACAGTGTTTGTAAAATTATACGGCACAGCTGTTATTCGGCACAGCAAGTCCGAATCCGGTCAGAAATCCAGCCCATGAGAGTCCAGGGGCTCGAACCACGGAAACGGAACGGAACTGAAGGAGCGACGAGGAGCAGCAGCAGGAACGCGCCTCCCCCCGACCCCCCCCCCCCCAAACCCTGGCAATAACCCCAGGGAAGGGACGACGGTCAGACGAGGACTTTTTTTTAAAAAAAAAGACGGGATTCGTGTGCCCGGCAGGCAGACGGGCAGCGCTGGGAGAGGAGGCGGAGAAGCTGAGCGCGGACCGGGACGCTCCGGGCGGGCCCCTCGCTGAGGGCGGCGAGAGCAGACACCCGTGCGCGCGCTTCAGAACCCGGTGCAGGTACCAATTCAATAAAACCGCCCGCCCGCCGCGCGGCTCCGTGGTCGGCGGGGACCCAGGTCCCAGAAGGTCCGGGTGCGGTCCCCCCTCCGCGCGGGCCCGGGGCTCGGGCTCCACCGCCGGGGCGGGGCGGGCGGGAGGCAGCCGGTCGCAGGTTCTCTCACCATGGATGTTTCTCCCTCTCCCTTCCTCTCTGAAGTCAATAAAAATGTACTTTTTAAAAAGCCCCCTCCCATGAAGCATGGTTAGTGATGCGTATTTTGTCGGGTCGACGAGGGACCCGTGGGCGGGTGACGCCTGAGGGCGCTGACACCGACACCTCAGCACAGAGCGGCACCGTAACTGTGTCCTTTTCACAGAAAGTGACAGGTAGCCACATCCCACCTCAACCAGTAAGTACACTTTAAATGGAAAAACCATCCACTGGGAACAAGAGTGCAGTGTTTCCACGCGCGCTTAGGCCGGTCGTGAGGGTCTCGATTCCGACACGGGTTTATCAGGCTCCGCCATCCCGCTCCCCCACCCGTTGCTTTCCAGCTGAACCTGGTTAACGGGCCTCGAGCGGCCCGGAAATGTCCGCCGCTGCCGGCGTGTGACTGACACTCAGAGGTCACGTCTCCAGACTCGGCGCAGACGCCCCGGGAGGAGCCATGTGGGGGGGACGCCAGCGACGCAGGGCCCCCTCCAGGCGCCGCGACCCCCGCCCTCCGGAGAACGTGGGCGGCGGCCGGCCCACCTGCTCAGCCGCGAGGCCGCGAGCCGGGAAGCTCCCACCCCGACCACCGAGGGCGCCCGGCCCCGCTTCTTACGAGCACTGCTCGCGCCCCCCCCCCCCCCGCCTTCCCGGCCCCAGAACCGCGAGCCGCCCGGCCGACCGCCCCGCCCGGCTCCCAGCCCAGGCTGCTGGCGCTGGAAGGCACGGTGCCCTCGTCGCGGCGAGGCCACCACAGGGCCTCCCGGGAAGCGTGTGAGGAAGGGGCAGGGGCGTCGCCCCACCTCGCGCACGGTGGGGGTGAGGGGATGGAGGGACCAGGCACAACGAAACTGGAGTCGCCGGCGAGGCCCGGGACCAAGGTACCTGCGAAAACCTGGGGCTGGTGACAGGCCGAGCGGCGCTCACTCTCGCAGACGCCCCGGCCTCAGACGGTTGCTCGCCGGGCGCTCCGCCGCCGCCTGACCCTCGAGAACTCGCGCCCGTCCGGGGCAAGGCCGGCGCGGGCCAATCAGCGCCCAGAGACCGCCTTCGGGGGCGGGGCCGGCTCGAGGGTGCGCATGCCGCGCCCCGCCCCCGCGCCTGCTCGCTGCTGCCCTCGGACCTTCTGCCGTTAAGCTCGGGACCAAGCCAAACGCCACGACCCTCCCAGGGGTCCTCAGGCCCCGGGTTTAAGCGGAGCCTTCCTCTCGGGCACTCACCCAAGTGAGGCTTTATCAACAGCCATTCGTCTTCCTCGGCGAGATGGAGAGGCCCTGCTATGTTTAAGTAGTTTTATGGACAGACCCCTCCAGCGGTTCTCAACCTGTGGGTCGCGACCCCTTTGGCGGTCGAACGACCCTTTCACAGGGGTCGCCTAAGACCATCCTGCATATCAGATATTTACATTACGATTCATAACAGTAGCAACATTACAGTTATGAAGTAGCAACGAAAATAATTTTACGGTTGGGTCACAACATGAGGAACTGTATTTAAAGGGCCAGAGGTTGAGAACCACTTAAACTAAAGGAGTAAGAGGCGAATACCTGGGCTCGGAGAGGAGGGCTGATGCTGTCCCTTCTGTTAAGTCTGTTCTCAGCTGTAAATTCTTCTACAGGAGCCTTTTCTTTTTGGCCTCGTCTTAGCCCTTGGTCAGGTGCCTTAGGAGGTGGTCGGTGCTTACTGTTTGTTGACGGAATACAGCAGGACTCGGCACAGCTTTGTGCTGTTTTCTGTGACTTCCCTTCCCCTAACGGTCACGGCTCCCGCCCCACGGCTCCTGGTCGCCGAGTTTCCCCGCTGATGACACTCCGGAGGGGAGCACCGCGTTGAACTGGAAATGGTTACCCTGTATCTAAATGGCACTCGTTGAGTAGACATCATGAAGAGCAGTGATAAAACTTTAGGTGGGACTCATATGGGTTAGTTTGTCTTATTTAACTATTGTTGATGTTACAAGGCACGCTGCCACTTCAAACCCCCGTTAACCGATTTGAGCTCTTCAGGGAAATCTCTGAGCAAAAGGGAGACGGCCCTGCCCGGTGAGCGCCGCCCTGATGTCAGGGAGACCCACAGAGGAGTGGACTGGGTCAGGGAGCAAGAGCAGAGGAAGCCTGACACCTTCCTTCCCTAAACCCGTTTTCAGCATAAATATGTGAAAAAGCAATGTGAGCCCTGGCCCGGACGGCTCCGTGGGCCGAGCATCCTCCCGCGTGCCAAGAAGTCTGGTTTGGGGCACACGCCCGGATGCGGCGTGATCCCCAGGACCGGGTGCAGGAGGCAGCTGATCATGGTCTGTCTCCCTCTCCCTAGAAACATTTAAAAAAGAGAGGATGGACACTATAAATTAGTGACACTAGAACTACACGTTATTTTTCTCCTAAGAAATGACGTCTTATTTATTTTAAGTAGCAGTGTTACTTAGTATCTGTAATAACCAAATTATGTATATGATGTTAAAGTGATTTTAAGGCAGCTTGAATAATATTTAAACAGGATAAGTTTCCATTCTTTAAAATTTAGTGACCGCTATTAATTTGCTTAGTGACTAATTTTCCATAATCAGAATTGACCTGGAAAATTATTACAAAACTCCACTAAGGAGGATCTAAATTAGCTATTTTGATTAATACTAACATTAATAAAAGACTGCCCTGTTTCCTACGAAAGGCTTATTTTCTAGACCCACTTCACTATGACTACTAAGAGTGCACCTAAAATTCTATTAGAAATTGCTCAATGTACACTCCAGTGAGGTAGATATTTGAATCATGTTAGATAAAAGCTTGTGTGACCCAATCTAATACATCATATGCAGTACATGAACACCTTCAGAGCAGGACCAATTCCATGTATGTCAAAGACCGTGAAATCTTAATTGAATAAAATATATCTAAACTAGAGGCCCGTTGCATGAAGAGATTCTGCTGGCACTGGTTTTCCTCCGGCACCCGGGACCCAGGCCTTCGCGGCTCCAGACGGAGCCTTGTCTTCGCTCTGCCGCTTCGCCACTATGTATGCAAATTACCTTCCATCTTCGTTGGGTTAATTTGCATACTCTCCTGATTGGCTGGTGAGCATAGCAGAGGGACAGTTAATTTACATGTTTGTCTATTATTAGGTAAGATGTCTCATTGTAAAGGGAAAAAGGGAATAAAATAACCAGTCAGGCTTTATATTAGTTAGACAATTTTACTAAATGAGAAAACTACATTTAAAATGTGCTTTAAAACAAAATGGAATTAGAAAAAAAGACATATGCATTTGAAAGAACGTTGCACTGAGTTGAAAATCAAATCTCTTGCAGTAATACAATACACCAATTCATAAAACGTAAGTTAACAGAATTCTCAATTTAACATTTTTAAAGACAATATTAAGGTCAAGAATTTCACATCTACGGTAGCACACATAAAAGGGCATTATAAATATGATGTCCATCCCTATGAACTTACAAATTTGACAATGCTCAATAAAAGCTTTTAGAATCACATCAAAAGTATCGCACCCAAAAATCACAAATCTGTGTCCTCTAAGTTCTCCTTATAAAATCTTTATGTTCACTTTTCTAGTCTTGCCATTTGTTAATGCTAACCCTTAAAAAGAGAAAGAGAGAAGAGGAAAAGAAATGCTGCAAAAAACCCTTGATCATGTACAGAAATTATTGCTACTATAGTTCACTACAAAGCATGTCTATACAATATCATATGGACTTTGATCATGAAAAATCAGAATAAAAATCTTTAGTGACATAAGCCTTACAATCGTATACAACATTCACATGGCATTAATAGACTGTTAAGCACCCAATACCCATAGTTGACAGAATGTCCCACTGACCAGCATTCATTTAAATATGTCCTTCGTACAGAGAAAGGGAGAGATAGTGTCAGCTTTCCAAGGCTTGTCAAAAAAGGATTCCCATGTTTTATGGATCTAAACACAAAAAAACGACAACAAAAACCCAAAAAACAAAATCGATGCAGGTGAGAGTGTTTCCAGAAAGTTAAGCATGCCAAAAGGTGTTTCGTGCAAATTAAAACCTAAAACAAAGGTACCACATAATCACATTACCAACTAGGTGGGTAATACTATGAACTTTATCTTAAAGTTAAATGAAATGCTACTGCACAATACAGCATCAATCAGTTAAAAATTAGAGTGCACAAATCCATATCTGTGGCAATTTCTGTATGAAGCAAAATATTCACTATCAGCTGTAAAGTTTGCCCAAACTGTTGATTAAATCACTGGATTGGACAGTTTGCATACTTTTAAAATATCAACCTCTAAAATTCCTTTTCACAGCAATGAAGCATAAGTTTTCTTAGTAAGATTAAACAGGTACATAAGTAAATAAGCAAGAGAAAATAATAGTTGGTGAATGTCTTTAGAGCTCGTCCCACATTTCATTTTTAAAAATGTTTAGGGGAAAAAAATTTAAAATATTTGCCATTATTCTAGCAAAAACAAACAAACAAAACAAAACAAGCCCCAAATAATTAAACAACCAAGCAACACTAAAATCACATTACACAGATGGATCATCATGCTTTCATCTGATTTAACGATCACATCTAGTTTAATTGGGATGCTTTTCAACTTTAAAAACTGTGATAAGTGAAGATGTAACTTTAATGGGTAATTTTGAATTTGGTTTTTTAACTTTGTTGAATATTATAACAGAGTATACTTATTACAATACAGTGTAGCACATCTTTCTATTAGAAAAAAATTTAAGATCCTTTACCCGTCTCCTTAAGTTAAAGGTGTGACATCATAAAGGGTGTCAAATGGCTGGATGGTTTTACAGTGCACACTTATATATTATGAAGTATGTCCTTAACAAATCTGATGGTTTCTTTACACAGTTCCTTTCTTCACCTTTTCTTCGGTGGATTAGCTGTTCGTGGTGGAGTGACCGGACGTCCTGAATTCAGTCCACCATACTGGTACTTAGCTTTCTTTTCAGATGGTTTCAATATCTTAAAGTAAACAATTTATTAACAATGTTATTCTTTCAAGTGCAGTAAGTTTAAGAAAGTTACTGTTACAACAGTGGGTATTTTTTCTTCTTCTTCAATAAATGGCAGAAATTGTAAAGTGCAATAAAAATGTAGAAAAAACAGCAAATTTCCACAAATATTTCTCATATTTTAAAGAGTTTGCAAACATCTGAATAGTGCAATTATGTCATTCCATCAATAATTTACTAACAAAAGCATGAGTATACGAGACCTATCAACTACCATTCCTTGGATTTAAGCAAAAAAATTTTTTTAAATTGGTATATCTCTGTGGTGAGGAAAATACTCTGGCTTTAAGAGTCAAAAAGACCTAGGTTCTCACCATAATTCTGCCACTATTTAGAGGGTAACTAGTCACAAACTCTTCACACCTTAATTTTTTTATGTGTAAACAGATCTTTTCATTTAAAAAACAGCTTTGAGGAGGCATTTGAGATCTTGCTCCTCAGCATATGCGATCAGTTTGGCTCAAATAAACTCATAAAAATTCTAAAAATAAAACATCCTAAAACAAACCAGCTTTGTTTTTGTATACAGTAGGTCCTTGGGTTATGTCGGAGATTCCGTTCAAACGGCGCAACATAAGGCGATTTTTGCTGTAAGTTGGAACCCACCTACATAAAGCACCTACGTCATTCACGTGGAGCACATACACAGCAGTAATGAAGTGAAACAGTAAAACAAATTTAAAAGGAAGATAACAATTCCTGACCTTTACTTGTGGTAAATACAGTAAATAAAAAACATGAAGCACATATGTACATACATCGAAATGACGGAACTTTTTTTTTTTTAATAAATAAATGGGAGATGGCAACGTAACCACGAAACGACATACGTCAAGTCCGACGTAACCCAAGGACTGCCTGTATTACATAAAGTTCATCCATTTAAAATATACAAGTCAATGCTTTTTAGTATATGTATTTACAGAGTTGTAGAGCAACGGCTATAATCTAATTTTGTCACGCCAAAAGAAACCTTGTTC